CTGCTCACAGACGTTGTAGTTCTTACGCCAAGCAACGAAATACTACCGTCTGCTTACCCGAGCTGCATATTCAATTCCCTTTGTTTTAGCCGAGCCAATCATCTGACAGTGTTCAAAAACATTAGAGCCAATTGGAAGCCGCCTTATATATTGAGAGATTAGCTACTGGGAAAAGCCCTTGCACATGCATTGGAATATATTGTTTCGGTTGAAACTTGAAATTTGTTTACTTGCGTGGATATATTTTGGAAACTATAGCGTTGAACTTCACGATGTTTACGTAGAATAATATTGTTATCACCTTCTCGCATGTTCAACAAACAATCGGTGTATATAAAGTGCTAAAGCAATGCAGTAGGCGAAATTTAAATTTTTGTTTATAACAATGACAAACAATCAATCGGGAACCAGGATATGTCCAAATGTTGCTCTTGATACTTCCTATATGCCATGACTTCGACGAAGACTTCTAAAAGATTAAGCTCTCATTGTCATATAGAAAAGTATAGCCAAGTTAGAGTATATTAAACGTTTCGAAGTTTGGGCGAATTGGAAAATTCATCACGGCGCAATTTTAATACAAGTTTCTCGGGTTTGTATTGTGTTTACAGTTTACATTCAGAAGTGGTTGCTCAGACAGCAAATTAGTTTACTTTGAAGCTAATATTTCGCTTTCTAAGCCACAGTATTATATAAAATTTTCTGTCTTCCGAGTTCTGTTGTCTTATAAAGATAAACCGTTCAAATTTCAGCGAAATATATTCGGCATTTGATGCCGTCTGGCTAAGATTCATACAGTATAAATATGCCAATCCTGTCCGCGTTTTAAATATATTAAACCGAACATCTTTAATATCCAAATCTGATCATTAATGGTGCATTTTATTACCTGGACAAGTATCAGTATCTTTAAATTCAATTTATGTGCAATTTTGACCAAAATTCAACCGACGACTGCTTTCAAAATATTATATTTAATTTCTTCCGCTCTTAAATCAACTGACGTCACTTTCCAGAATTTGGAAGGTAAATTCTGATTGGTCGACGTAGCGGAATTCAGTTTGGCGCTCGGGTAAGCAGACGGTAGTATTTCGTCGCTTGGCGTAAGAACTACAACGTCTGTGAGCAGGCTAGGAGGCACCCCCCACCCGAGCAGAAATGCAAAGAGCCAAACTAAACCTAACAAAGTAGGTGGTAAATCAACTGATAACGCTATCGAAATGCACATTTTAATAAATTGTTTTTATTTGCAATGCCAATTTAGTAAAAGTAAGGAACTGAACCGACCGTATACGCCTTGCCCCTGCGTCAGCGAAACGGCATGGAAACAGAACCATACCAGTACCGCGTATCAAATAGAAATGTGCGACTTAAAACACTGGTAAATAATACGTCAGCTACATTGTCAAATTATGCAGCCATATCGATCCCTATTCGCATAAGATTATTTATTAAGATTATTCTCAAACTACTCGTAGTTATGTTTGACATGCGAATGTACTTTCGGAATGCGTCAGATTTCCAACGCCCCATACTCGGATGGTTATAGGAATGCTTAATATCAACGAATTTAACCTTAAGGCCAACGATAGCGCCAGACAGATCCTCAAGCTTGACCACCTGTTTTACTTGAAGAACCGCTGGAGACCGGGGACAGTAAGTAATTTCCCCAACCCTTAAAAATGCAAAAAATGCCGTTGTACACATGGCCTTAAATAAAAGGGCATTGTAGACATAGAACACAAAGACGGGATGACTTCGTTGATATTCAAAAGAAAAGATAATGTAATAGGAAGACGGCTGTCAATGCGCAGCCCCGCATCAAATGACACACGAGCACACTCAAAACAATGGGATAAAATTTCAAAATAACAATATTTATATGTTTCTAATGCTCAGGCCATTCATCGAAACACCAAAACTGACCAAATATAGCTCCAAAACTCAAGCTAGCTGCAGAATCGATATACAAATTTAAATGGACAAAATTAGACCAGAAATCCCCCAGAAAAAAGATCGGCCATTGAAATCATCCAAAAATGATTTCCATATACGCAAATCCGCTTTGACAGATCTACTAAGCCGGATAAAATGAGACGCACACCGTATGTCTTTGCTCAAATCTATAAGACGACGCAGAAAAGTCCGCCCTGGCACAACAACAGAACAAGCAAAATTAAGAAGGCCAATTAATGACTGTACCTCCTTTAAAGTAGCTTTCTTGCGCTGTAGAAACATCGAAAGGAGGGCTTTGGATTTAGGCTAGTTATTTTATCCGCTGGTAAACGTGCTTCAAACAATATAGTGTCTAATTCAATACCGGCAAATGGCAAAGTGGTTCGAGGACCGACAGTCTTTTCCGGAGCAATCGGAACACCAAGATACTCGCAAAGTGATAAAAAATTCTTCAAGTCAGTGCAACATTGGTCATGTGATGAAGCTGCCATTAGGTAGTCATCAAGAATGTGGATAAGGTGCGCAATGTTCAAATGTTTCTGGACAACCCATTGCAGTGCAGTGCTAAACATTTCAAATGTCCGACAGGATGATGCACATCCCATCGGCATGGCACGGTCATAATAGAATTCTCCTTGCCAAAAAATTCCCAGAAGATCATAATCCTGGGGGCATATAGAAATGATATGAAATGCATTTTTGATATCTGTTTTTGCAAGAAAACAACTTTTTCTTAGCTTTTTGATCATAGAAATTGCATCGTCAACTCGACTGTAACACACCACAGTATGCTCAGATGAAATACCGTCATTTATCGATGCCCCTTGAGGAAAAGACAAATGGTGGATTAGACGAAATTCCCCAGGTGTTTTCTGTGGCACAACGCCCAAAGGGGGAAACTCGAAAATTATGAAAAGGAGGTTCTTGAATAGGTCCAGCAATTCTATTAGCTGTTAACTCCCAGGTGATCTCGTGTTCGTATTTTAGCCAATCAGCGCTCAGAAAGGGTTGTCCGAATAGAAATTCATTTTGATGTATCCAGTCAATCATATCTTTCGTTATTCTTGATGAAACTAGTTGAAATTTTGTAATTATGTTTGGTTATCAGAACTATAGCTCTGACAAAAATTTGGAATCGAAATAAAGTATATTACAGGAGATATTCAGTTGTTTTAATCATAAAATGGATTTCTATTTGACAACTAGTGCCAGTACTTTTTCGCGTATCACGATCATCTGGTCCTTATCAAGTTAAACACTGACTACCTAAAAGATTTTTGGAACAAAAAGAAATACGTTCACCAGAAAAATGTAGGGGAAAACCCCAGGTAAAACCATTATGTAACAAAGAAACAACATGCACATCATATCCACCTAACTAGGGTAGCATTCGTTCAATTAGGACCGGAGTTGGGAGCTCGGGACAAGGCTGCTCGTTTGACACTGAGGGGTTGAAAAATGGCGGTGGCAACGGAGGGACGAAAATTGGAAGTTGAACTGGAGGGACGAAAATTACAGCTGTGTGCAGGATGTTTCTTCCCACCTGTACACCTAAAACAAGTATGCTTAAAAATGCATGGCCAGAGCAACCAAGGCCCTGGTGAAACTTCCGGCAAAACCCTTTAGGTACGAATAGCCCACGCTGACTGAAACTTTGCGATTTTGGTTTTGGCTTAGCAAAATTCTGTGCCCGGATCCTTAATTCCCAATGGGTGGATCCCCAGGGCATTTCGTTGGCATGGGTATGCTTCAAATAGCGAAACTGGGTGTCATAGAATTGGCAATTACCTGCCTGAGCAGCCAAATCCCGAACCACTTCACCATATTTCATAAGTGCTGGGGCCTCCAACGGGTGCATGCTGGTATAAACCCCAACAAATACTTGAAAAGCAGTCGTCCACACCTCAAAGTTGTGAATAGCTTTAGCCTTTGTAGTGGGTTCTAAAGCAAGTGTTGGTACTGAACCCTCGGATATGCCGAGAGAAAAATGGTAGCGGGTATCGCCTACTTGGGGGTTTATAAGTAACCCAAAATCTATAAATTTGTTGCCCCAAATCTTCAACTTAATCTTGGGGTTGACCTGGGCATCGGTTGGAATACTAACAGAATTGAAATTAGATATACCTGGTCCAACAGAACTTGCCATGAGGTGTGGACAAATTACTCCCAATTGTGCTACATCACCTGGAAGCTTTTCCATGGCTGCAGCTACTGGCCCCTGCCCTTGAGCGTCAGCCACAGAAATGCCCTGCAGTGGTACCTCCCTCGTGTTAGATTCCAAAGGCAATGTCACAGGATTGTGTTGAGGCATTTGCAAAGACTCCATAACAGCCTGGGTCACTGCAGAAGTAATTCTGGCAATAGTGGAATCCGAAAGGTCCGGAGGAGTCGTTCCTTGCACTGTAGGAGTCGTTCCTGGCACTCACGGGTGGAGCTAGGCCTGGATCCTGAACAATTGGTTGGTGGCTCAGTTCTTGTTGATCTCGGACGAGCAGCCATAGGCTACTCTGCACGCCGTTGGATGCGGGTACTTGGTCTTGGCATTATTTCTAAAGAGAAACTGCAAACAGGGCAGACTACAAGCCACTGATAATATCTTGTCACATGATAGGGCAATATATTACCAGGCACTGTTCCACAACAAACACAATTTTAAAGTTTACAACAAACAAACATCTACTGATCTACAACTCTATAGTAAACGATTGTTGTTAAATATGGCATACCACAAAGGTAGCCGAACAAATTAATAACTGGGCCATCTGAAAACAACTTGCCGCGCCGTCCCACATATATTGAATTGAACTATGGGCATTTGAACACCTAGGTCCTATCCCATGTAGGCATATATTTCCATGACCAAGAAACTGTGGCCTAAATTTATGCTAAAAGTGCATAAATTCAAGGACAATACTGTACAGTGGTTTGATTCAAACAGAACGACAAAACAATTAACATTTGTACAAAAGGCCCCAAGTACACAACATAAACTATATACAGTACGGTACCTCACATCACACTATATATATAAAACAGAAGCCACAAATTCATGAATGTTTCCTTCGCATGAAAATATAATTGCTCAATTCTCAATGTGGTATTTGCAAACAGCAATTGCTCAGCCCAGACACATATTCACACAGACCCTTGGGCCCCGGGAATTACACCATAAATTGATAATCATATCACATTTGTATGATTTGTATTAATGTCGTTTATGACTTTATTGAATATATGCACATGACATTTAATAAGTACAATAACCTTGGAAAAATCCAAGTACTGCAAATAATATGAAGTAAAATATCGATCGTGCAACATATTAAGAGCTTTAAAAATTGCTCCTCGATAACTCCTGTATAAGATATACTGTCCGTGGGGGTTGCAGTGAACCCCATCAGGAGACAACAAATCAATTCTACCATTGTCAACTTTACGATGGTCCCAAAGAAATACGCCACGTTCATTCGCCAAAACGACAGACAAATACTGTCGCAGAATAGAAGCTTTTGCATTAAAAGCATGGTCCGGTGTATCGGAATGCGGAATGTGCCTATTTATAACTTGGCACACGGCAATGACCTTTATGGTTAACTCGTCACGCATATAGCGTACGAGATCGTCTATCCGCGAACCGACCACCTCCGGAGAAAGGTTTTACAAATCGTTCGTCCCTATTTCCAAAACGACGATATCCGGTTTTAGAAGGAAATATCATACTTAAACACTTCGACCGCCCGTGCACTTCAAAGATACGTACAAGCCTGAATCGGCCAGGTTAAAATTTTGTTTGGAAAGGGAATCAAAACCATTATTTAAATCGTCATTTAAGCGGCTCACAAAAGAATGGCCAAATACCAAAACATTAGGAATGAAACCCGACATATTTCTTGAGGATAAATAAGATAAATAAGATAAAAGGAAACACACAAACCTGAAAAAACTTTGGAAGAAAGTATGCAAGTGTTGATCCTGACTGACTTCGGTAGAATAACCTAACCTTGACACTCGCGCCTTTTATACGCAGCATCAGAGTAAAATTCCCAAATGTAGCAACTTCTCCCCGTAATATTTCGTTGCATGCGTTACGTCATCATTTCATTACCTATAGTAAATCTAACTATATATGTATATAATAGGGAAAGCAATAAAATTACTATTCGGTGAACAAATAGTTCCTATGTAGTTCTAATAGCAATAGTCATCATTTTCCTAACGCAGTACATTTGGTGGTTTTTGTCAAGACCAATACTTTCTAACATGTCTAAAAATGTAGAACATTCTTCTGCAAAAATACCTAAAGAGCTGACAGAGAGATTTATAAATTTAACTTGGTTAAAATTTTTACCTAGCTGTCTCAATAATTCTCTATATTTATCCTTCTTCCGTTTTACGTTGTTCTTGAGGTTTGTCTCATAACCAGTAGTGAGTTCGACCACATATAAGGAACCATTTGAGCACGATAATAACAAATCTGGGCGATACGTATCACCAGTAAGTATTGAAGGGCTTTTGAATCCATGTAGATCAGCGTAGAGAGTAGAACCGTCAACAGTTTGTAAAGTATTAGCAAGAAAGTTCAGGACTGAATTGTGTCTCCACGTAAATCGGTCGAGATAAAACTGACATCCAGCTACTATGTGTAGTAATGTTTCAGGGCTAAGACAAAAAGAACAGTCTGCATTTGAAGATATTGCCCATTTGTTTAGGTTTTTGCGCGTCGGAAGAGAGTTGTTAATGTAACGAATGGTAAAGTTGTAAATGTTTTTCGGGAGCTTTGATTGGGCGATGGACCACACCTTGTTAAACTGGGGTAAAGCGAACTTTGTGACGCTGCAGAAAAAGGATCCTTGACTCGTTAATTGGGTCAGGAGTTTGTTTTCGTGTCCAGAACGAAAATCTTTGAGAACTCCCTTAGTAGAGTTATAAGCGTCATATTGGATATTAGTATGGTTACTGGTTGCTTTCCACAGGTCGTTAGTTGATTCATTAGGAGAAGATTTTAAAGCTTTTCGGAGGATTGTTTGACACTGGATAAATTTTACAGATGGAGGATAAATACTCAGACCAAATTTGTTATTTGTTAGAAAGACAGTACTTAGTGTTCCTGATATTGGTACTTCAAGCCATCTGCGGATATATTTGTTGGCAATAGAATCGATATTTTCAGTAACCCATGTTTTAGAGAGTGTTGCGACGGTAAAGTGCCAGGCTAACTTGGACAAGACGTAGCGACTGTAGAGGAGCAGTTTATTTTTGGGGTGTAGTGGCTTTGAGTCAATATCAGACATTAGTTCATTAAGTAGGGTTGTTAGTTCAGTTTTATGATTATCATTCGACATGTGGAAATCAAAGTAACGTCCTAAATATTGAAATGATTCTCCAATGGTGATTTTTGGTATTAGTTGATTGCTGATGAGGAGTTTTGGCAAGTACTGGATTGATTTTGTGATCGCTTTTTTAATGCCAAAGGTACTGCATTTGTCAACTCGGATAATCATATCGGACCATTGGCACCAGATAGAAAATCGATTTAATAGATGTTGGTTTTCGGATTCTTGGCCAGTAATTACAGCCGCGTCATCAGCAAACTGGAACCAGTGGATGGGATTTAGTAATTTGAAGGAAAACCCAAATTGACGGTACTTTTCAGCCTTGATATGCTGAATGAATGTATTGAAGCACATGTTAAAAAGCAGAGGACTGAGGGAATCTCCTTGCAATACGCCACGGCCAACTGTCATAAAAGGAGTGCGGAATTCAGAGGTAATTATCGAGGTTTGGAAATCAGTATATAAACTTTTTATAACAAATTTTATATGATCAGGGATATGGTGGTAGTCAAGTACGGATTGGATGAGGTTGTGATGGATTTCGCCGAAGGCATATATTCTTAAGATCAAGTAGGGTGATGACAACAGAGCGTTGTCTGATCCGAGCTTTATTAATAATGTCAGCCATTTGTGCAGTATGTTCTAGAGTGCCAGATAGGTTAGGGGTGAAGCCTTTTTGTATGTTGTGTTCGACGAAGTTATTAGATGCGAGGAAGGAGTATACTGCGTTTCGAAGACAAGATGTAAATACTTTTAAAGGTACGGATTCGAGTGTTATGGGGCTGAAATTTGAAGGGTCACTATTGTTGCCTTTCTTGTGGATTAGTATGGTATATGCTCTTTTCCACTCAGTTGGGACAGTTCCACATAGCCAAATATCGTGAATTAGCTCAGTAAGGTAAGTTCTCAGATAAGGACAATGCTTGAAACTTATTATAGAAAGTTGATCAAGAGGGCGGGGGTCAAGGTTAAATTGAACTTCAGGATCAGATAACTTTGGGATCCAGCTGGGAATTACAAATAGCTTGTTAGGATTAATTTTAGCCAGAGATTTAGAGAAATAAGAAAGGCAATCAGTCATGTTAAATGATGGTAATACTGCGTCTTTTCTATGGATTATATTTTTAACATAGCCCCAAAAGCTTCGTTCCAGATATTTGTTGTGATTAAAAGACTCACTGTCATTTAAGTCATCGGCGTCGTTGCTATTGTTACGGAGCCTGTCACGCAATGTACGCGATACGTATTTAATTTCACTGAGTTCACCCTTTTTGGATTTTAAATTTTGTAAAGCTTTCTTTAACTCTTTAACCGTATACTCTTTATATTTAGCTACCATATTTTTGTCGTGTACAGTTTCAGTATGTCCATAATTATTTGCAAAGTAGTTGTATATCGCGTCATTTAAAAGCTTGATTTTTGAATTTAGATCTTGAAATGTGATTGGATCATTTGGCTGGAGTGCATATTTAAAATAATCATTAGCCGTTGACCATTCAGAATCATTTTTCGGGAGATTTATGCCTTTCTTCAGTTCAGGAAAACTTTCGTAATTAACTGTATTAATATCATTGCCATTGTGTTCATTTTCTGAAATATTTTCGCTGTTATCCGTAGTTATTTGCTCCTCCAGATCTGCACAAAGCTCGTCGTTAAGGCCATGTATCACTTGACAACTGCGCTGATGCATTTTAAGGCCGCGCGTCCCTTTGCATATCTTGCCACAACAACATTTAACAACCGTGCGACTTGACACAGGAACATTAGGGGACTGCACTACAGGCACTTGCCTTGTAGTAGCGTCAGGGGGATCTTGTTCTGCTTGGTTAATCCGTTGTTTACAACGCCATGAATGGCGACCGAGCGAGACGAAGTCTTTATCACAAAACGAACAGACGACGCAAGTCAATAGCATGGCAATAAAACTTGAACGAATCATGATGATGATCTTTTTATGATTATAAATTTAACAATTAGTAAGAAATACTGTGATTCAAATACAAAACCAGCGATAAAACTATGACATGTACAGAGCACGTCTGAACACGGCTCTGCTCGATGTAATAATAATAATAATAATAATAATAATAATAATGGAAACTTTATTGAATTTTTTACGTATATATATACAATTGTAAATCTCACTACTGACTTAGGTAATTTACAATTGGCTACATGAATCACGGAGTACTACATATGTACTATTTGCAGTAAAAACAAGAATAAAATGGGTATATGATTATATATATATATATATTGTTATATGTAGTTATTAATTTAAATGTTTAACAATTCAGGGTTTGTCCACTCTTTGCTTCGACAGCAAAAAATATAGTACGTCGCTCTAATGGCATAAGACGTCATCTTTTTTATGCAGTAATGTTGCTGCTTTTTATCCATTCCTATAGTGTCTAACATTTCTAAAAAGGTGAAGCATTCTTTGTCAAACACACCGAGAGAGCTCATTGATAGGTTTACAAATTTAACAGAATTAAAGTGACCCCTTTGATCTTCAATTAGATCTTTGTATTTTGCTTTTTTGCGTTTAACGTTATTATGTAGATTAGATTCAAACCCGACAGTAAGTTCAAGGACATAAAGATCTTCATTTGGGGTAATTAGGAGTAAGTCCGGTCGATATAGGTCACCAGTTATAATTGACGGGCTTTTGTGTCCGGATAGGTCAGCATAAAGTTGACATGGATTTGTTGTTTGAAACGTTTCAGCGAGAAAGTTTAAAATAGAATCATGTCTCCAAGTAAAGCGCTGAAGGTACGATTGGCAGCCGGCTACCACGTGTAGTAGGGTGTCAGGACACAAACAAAAGGAACATTCGGGACTTGAAGCTAAACCCCATCTTGTAAGGTTTTTTCGCGTAGGAAGAGAATTATTTATGTAACGGACGGTGAAGTTGAAAATGTTCTTTGGCAGTTTTGATTGAGCGGCAGACCAAAGTGTGTTTAACTGTGAAAAGGAAAACTTTGCAACATTCGAGAAAAATGAACCTTGACAAATTAAACGGTGTTGAAGCTTATCTTTTTGTCCAGAATGAAAATCCTTGAGAACTTCCTTTGTTGAATTATATATGTCGTACTGAATATTAGTGTGATTGTTAGTTGATTTCCAGAGTTCTTTTATGGAATCATTTGGGGATGTTTTTAAGGCGTTGCGTAGGACAGTTTGACATTGGATAAATTTGACGGATGCAGGGAGGATATTCAGACCGAATTTGTTATGGGTTAGATAAATATTACTTAATGTTCCAGAAATGGGTATTTCAAGCCACTTTCTGATGTATTGATTAATCACAGAATCGATTGTTTCCGTTACCCAGGTTTTCGACAGGGTTGCAACAGTGAGATGCCAGGATATTTTGGATAGAACGTAGCGGTTATATAGAATAAGTTTGTTTTTTGGGTGTAGAGGTTTATGGTCGATATCAGACATTAGTTCATCAATGAGGGACATTAGTTCAGATTTGTGTCCTTGGTCGGACATATCAAAATCAAAGAATCTTCCTAGATATTTAAAAGATTCTCCCATTTGAATAGTAGGTATAAGACCATTGTTAATTAGCAGTTTCGGTAAGTACTGAACGGATTTTGTCAAAACTTTCCTGATGCCGAAGGTGCTACATTTATCAACTCTGATTATCATGTTCGACCATTGACACCAGATTGTGAATCGGTTTAAGAGGTGTTGGTTTTCATAATCTTGGCCAGTGATAACAGCCGCGTCATCAGCAAATTTAAACCAGTGAATGGGATTGAGGAAGTTAAACATGAAACCAAATTGACGGTACTTGTCAGCTTTTATGTGCTGAATGAAAGTATTAAAGCACATGTTGAACAGCAGAGGGCTAAGACAATCACCTTGTAGCACACCACGGCCAACAGTTATGAACGGAGTGCGGAATTCAGAAGTTATCACGGAAGTTTTAAAATCAGTATATAAACTTTTGATAACATTTTTGATGTGGTCAGGAATATGATGATATTCAAGTATAGATTGAATTAAGTTGTGATGAACTTCACCAAAAGCATTCTTAAGGTCAAGGAGAGTGATGACAAGAGAGCGCTGTTTAATCCGTGCTTTGTTTATAATATTCGCCATTTGAGCAGTGTGCTCCATAGTACCTGAAAGATTTGGTGTGAAGCCCTTTTGTATGTTATGTTCGATATAATTATTTGCGGCGAGGAAGGAATACAGTGAATTACGGAGACAGGATGTAAATACTTTCAAAGGAATTGTCGGAGCGAAAACGAACAGTTGACAAACTAACGCCATTTTGGCGACATAAAGTACATTAATTAGACGGAAAAAATGGCGGAAAACACATGGCCGCGTTGAAGTTGTTATTTATCGTTTTTATTAAATATTTGTTTTAAAAAACTATGAAATGAGTGAATGTTTAGTGAACCAGCACGTAAATGTAGGTCTCGACTACATTTTTGGTCCTTCGACAGTCGGATTGTAGAATTTCAAGGGAAATTCGAGTAAATATCGAGGGGTAAAAATACGTAAATATATTGGTTTTATATATTGTCCTATTGGACTTGTTGCATCATCGGCAAACAAGAAAATTTGGATTTCCATCGGAATTAAAGGAAATTCGACAATCGTAAGTACATTTTGGATTGTATTTTGGTTGTATATTGTGAACATTATCGTGGGGAAAAATGAGTGATACAGAAACAACTGAGAACGAGGCTCAAGAGACGGTGGTAATAGTTATATCGGATTTTAAGAAGCAGAAACGAAATGCAAAATCGTTGTTGACACGTTTGTTAACACAGTTATCCTGTTTGTTGTCAGAGGAAAACCCTAATCGAGAGAATATATGCCATTTATTGGTTAAAATCGATGAACAGAAAGACATTTGTTTGGAGGTATTAGATAAGCTTGAGGAAGCATACCAGAAAAGTGGGGATAAACAAAACGCATTAAGAATAGGTGATGAATCGGACAAAATAGCTGAGCAAGTGGATGTTGAAACACATGCCTCACGTCAATTTTTGTTATCGTTAGTCAAGAAATCTGTGCATTTAAAAAACAATGTTGCTATGGCAACTGAATCTCAACCGACCAATACACAACAGCTGGCCCAGGAAATTATTACTACAGAAAATATGGAAACACCCTTGTTGGAAAATGATGGAGTACAAACTGAATCGAATAGCAGTTTGCCGCAAGAGACACATCAAGTAAACAGTAACATTGCACATGAACAATTATCAAGTGGAAACAACACTACATTTGTTGACAATGGAATTGGAACACAGTCGTCTGAGTCGTCCAGCAGCCAATCGGAATTAAACACGACTTCACAAAGTGGAAGTGCTCGCAGAGTGGATGGACATTTGGAGCGAATTCGAATTCCTATTTTTACAGGAGACAAAATGAAGTTTCAACAATGGAATGCCGCTTTTACTAGCTGTGTAGATAAAACGTCATTGAGTCCACAGTTCAAAATGCTTAGACTAGAATCATGTTTACGAGGAGAAGCAGCCGATACAGTTAGGGGACTTGGATACTCGCAAGAAGCTTACAATGCTGCAAGGGCTAGATTGGAGAGAAAGTATGGTGGTAGTCGGAGACAGGTTCAGAGTCATTTAGAAGAATTAAAAAAGTTGAAACCATTACAAGAGGAAAATGCCAGAGAATTGGAAATCTTTGCGGATGTTTTAGAGCGGGCTGTCATTTGCCTCAAAGAGAATGGTAGACAAGCGGATCTTGAAGCCGGAACTTTATACACCATTGTTCTTGAGAAGATCCCGGAGAAATTACTCTCCCAATACTACAGATGGCTAAGAGAGAAACAAAAGGAAGAATCCATGGAGACATTAAAGGATTGGATTTCCCAAGAAGCCGAGTACCAAATTCAGGCCTCAGAAATTAAGCATGGGTTTCGGAAGATACGAGCAGAAAGAGTCGATGGAAGCGGAAGTGGTTGCGGTCGAGGCGGACGGACCTTCTATGGAAAACCAGTTGATGGAGGTGACAAAAGAGTCAAGAAATGCCAAGTTTGCACAGAGATCCACCCTATTTGGAAGTGTACAAAATATCGAGATCAGTCAATAGAAGACAAGTGGAAAATGGCAAAGAAGTTAGGTTTGTGCTACCGTTGCCTTGGTGACAATCACTTAGGAAATGCCTGCAAATGGAACAGACAATGTAATATAGACGGTTGCAATGAGACCCACCACTATTTGCTTCATAGGCCAAGGGATCCCTCTAAGGCACCCAGTAAGGAGAAAGATGACAATATGAAGGTTGAGTCAGGACCAGGATCTAATACGGAGGGGGATGACCAACGAAAGACATATGGAGCAACTCGAGGACAGGAAACAGAATATGTTGCTTTGCGAACAGTCCCAGTCATTGTAAAGAATGGAAACAAGAGGATTCCTGTAAACTGTCTTTTGGACGAAGGCAGTGATACGAGCTATATTAACGAAGATGTTATTGAGGCTTTGGGGTTGCATGGAGCCAAAACGGAGATTAATGTGAAAGTGGCTAATGATGAAACAGTCTCTTTTATGTCATCAACATTTGATGTCGGGTTGGAAAGTACTGATGGTCGCGTGGACACCACAATAACAGTGCAATCGTCAAAGAAAATTTGTGGTGGTATGAAACCAGTCAATTGGATAAAGATTAAACACAACTGGCAGCATTTACAGAAGATTTACTTTCCCAAACTAGTAACTGGACGACGAGTGGATATTCTCTTAGGAGCGGATCATCACGAACTGATGTATTCAATGAAAGAAGTAGTTGGAGAGCATGGTCAACCATCAGCAAGGCTCTGTCCACTCGGGTGGACAGCGGTTGGAAAAGTGAATGGTACTGAATCGAATGGATCCCATCATACTGGGTTTCATCACACGTATTTGTTGAATCAAGACAAGCCATCGATTGAAGTTCATCAAACAGATAGGAATCTTGATGAAATGCTTAAGCGGTTTTGGGATTTAGAGAACATTGGAATCACACACAAAGAATCTCCCATTTTAGAGATGACACCAGATGAGAAACTTGCTTGGACAAAAGTGAGTGAATCAGTGAAGTTCAACGGGCAGCACTATGAAGTAGCAGTTCCTTGGCGCGATGGTCGACCGAAGCTTGCACCTAATAGTTCATTGGCGAAGCAAAGGCTCGATTCTACAGAACGAAAGTTACTCAAAGATCCAGAATTGGCAGTGGCTTATCAGGGAGTCATTAACGAATATTTAGAGAAAGGATATATCAGACAAGTGCCCTCGGATGAACCGAAACCAGAATGTGAGTGGTTGTTGCCTCACTTTCCTGTTGTGCGACCGGACAAGAGCACAACAAAAGTTCGAATTGTTTTCGACGCATCGGCAACTTGCGAAGGGAAAAGCCTGAACACAGAATCCCTACCTGGTCCTAAACTGCAAAGTGACATTGTGGACATATTAGTGAAATTTCGCAAGGATCCCGTGGCTTTAGTCGGAGATATTAGCCAAATGTATCATCAGTTGGTTCTCCTGCCAGAAGATAGACCTTTGCACCGTTTTCTCTGGCGAAACCTCGATCGAAGCAAAGAACCGGAAGTTTATGAATTTATTCGTTTTGTATTCGGAGGATGTTATTGCCCATTCTGCGCACAGTTCACATGGCAACAACACGCAGAACGACACGCTGACGAATTACCCTTAGCCGCCGAAGCAGTTGGAAAAAATTGTTACATGGATGATTTGATGCCATCAGTCGAAAGTTCATCACAAGCGATTGAAACTCGACAGCAATTGACAACGTTAGGAGATAAAGCAAAATTTCACATTCGTAAGTGGATTTCGAATCGTCGCGAAGTGCTAGAAGATATTCCGGAAGAAGATCGTGCATCACAAATCAACCTCGACCTGCATGAATTGTCAAGCGTGAAGACCCTCGGAATTTCGTGGACTGCAACGGACGATCAGTTCTCGTTTCACTATTCTCCACCAGAGAAAGAATTTGTCTACACGAAGAGGAACGTTCTTCGCTGTACCGCAACGATCTTTGATCCTTTAGGCTTTCTTGCTCCCTTCATTTTGTTGGCAAAGTTAATGATGCAAAAAGCGTGGGTTCAAGGATTGAGTTGGGATGAGCATCTCCCCGAGGAACATCGTCGAACTTGGAAACAATGGTTTGAAGAGTTGATCAAATTATCTCTCATTAAGATTCCACGTTGTCTGAGAAAGAGCGTAGAAGTCGGACATATCGAGATTCACACGTTTTCGGACGCTTCGGAAAAAGCGTATTCCGCGGTTGTCTATATTCGTCATGAATATAAGGACGGTGACGTATCAGTCCGACTCGTAGCAGCAAAAACACGGTTAGCACCCTTGAAAACTATAAGCATCCCACGGCTTGAACTAATGGGAGCGGTTATAGGCCTTCGTTTAAGTAAACAAGTTTGTACGGCCTTGGAACTTCCTGTACAAGATGTAACGTTTTGGATCGACAGCACGACGGTTGGTTTTTGGATCTGTGGACAAAGTCGAAAGTACAAGACTTTCGTGGCACATCGGATCGGTGAGATTCATGAAGAAACCAACCCTGTTCAATGGAAATACGTCCCGACATCATCCAACCCAGCAGATCACGGTACACGTGGACTCACAGTCACTGAGTTGAAAGAGAATGAACTTTGGTGGAACGGGCCAGAGTTTCTAAAAGAATCACGCGACAAGTGGCCCGAAGAGAAATTTGCAGAACTGAACGCCCAAGTTTTCGCAGAGATGAAGCCAGAACGCAAGGGTGACGCAGTTTGTTTCAATGCGACTCAAGAAGACGAAAGCGAAGAAGAATGGCGTCTGAAACCTTCAAGATTTTCAAAGTGGTATCGCCTTTTTTTGATTAAGAGATTGGAGTTAGGACTGTCGTTAGTGCGGGTTAGAGCTTGGGTCCATAGATTCATTGCGAACTGTCGAAAGTTGAAGAAAGAACGAGTCAGTGGAGAGTTGACCGCAAACGAATTACAAGGTGTAGAAGAGATCATTATTCGCGAAGCACAAATGGAAGTTTATTGTCAAGAGATTACTGCACTAAAAGAGAAGAAGAGTCTTCCTAAAAGAAGCAGTATTTTGAATTTAACGCCAATCTGGAAAGATTGTCTTCTGCGTTCGAATACGAGGCTTCGATACTCTGAGGATTTGAGCGAAGAGATAAAATATCCAATAATTTTACCCAAGAGACATCCAGTGACGAAACTCATCGTGAAGTATCACCACGAAAGCGAAGGGCATCGAATGGGCGTAAACTTCACGCTGAATCATCTTCGAGAGAGATACCATGTCGTTCATGGCCGAGAAATGGTAAAGAGAACGGCAAAAGAATGCACAACGTGCAAACGGCGTTTTACCGGCAAACCAGGCGTGCAACAAATGGCACCATTGCCCAATATCAGATTAGAATTGACGATGAAACCTTTCACGAACTGTGCAGTTGATTTCGCAGGGCCCTACCTCACAAAGCAAGGACGAGGGAAGACATGAACGAAACGATATTTGTGTCTATTTCTTTGCTTGCAGACCCATTGTTGCCACTTAGAAATGGCATGGTCGTTGGAAACAGACGGATTTTTGCAAGCGTTCACCAGAATGGTATCGAGACGCGGTTGGCCTCGAACTATGCTTAGTGACAATGGTACCAATTTTGTAGGAGGTCACAACGAGATTTGTAAACTTGTTGGTGAGATCGACAGAGAGAAGATTAAAGCGTAGACGTCCAATAAAGGGGTAGACTGGCGTTGGAATCCACCGTTATCACCGCATTTTGGAGGCGTATTCGAACGGATGATTCAGTCAGCCAAGAGAGCGATCCAAGGAATTTTAACTAACGCAGACGTAAGTGACGAAGAACTAGAGACAGTCATTGTTGGAGTAGAGAGTCTGATGAATTCACGTCCTTTGACTCATGTTAGCGGAGATCCAAACGACGAACCAGTGTTAACACCAAACCACTTCTTAATCGGTCAATCAGGAGGTGATGTTGCACCAGAGAGTGTCGACTACACACCGTTTAACTCCAAGAAACGTTGGAGGCGCGTGCAGGAACTTATTCGCCAAACCTGGAAACGCTGGATGCAAGAGTACCTTACAAGTCTTGGGTCCCGATCAAAGTGGTTTAACAAACAAGATAATGTGAAGAAAGGAGATATGGTATTAGCTATCGATCCAGGAACACCGAGACGACAATGGAAATTGGGAAGATTGAAGCAGTTTATCCTGGAAAGGACGGCAATGTTTGTGTAGTGGATGTGAGAGAAAATGATAAGATCTACAGACGGTCGATTGGACGCGTATCACCACTGGAATTTTGAAATCATGAGAAGACGGATCACAAGAAATCCGGGAGGGGGAGATGTCGGAGCGAAAACGAACAGTTGACAAACTAACGCCATTTTGGCGACATAAAGTACATTAATTAGACGGAAAAAAGGCGGAAAACACATGGCCGCGTTGAAGTTGTTATTTATCGTTTTTATTAAATATTTGTTTTAAAAAACTATGAAATGAGTGAATGTTTAGTGAACCAGCACGTAAATGTAGGTCTCGACTACAAATTATTAATACTGTATTTTGTGTCCAGCATTCGCAAATGTATTTGTTTCTCTGCTGTCGAAAATTCACTGCTGGCGAGCAACGATGCAAATCAATACAAGTTTTGATATATTTCAGATTCGACAGTTCTTGGTCAACGAGCATGGCCAGATAACGAAATTGGATATACGCATTGTCATTGGCCAATACCCCATCACGTGTTCGGCCGTTTCACTCCCCTCTTTATTTTTTATTATTTCTCCGCCTTATTTTAAATTTCGGATCTTTCTCGGTCGCCCTTCGGAGTATCATCGTGTAACATAAATTAATATCAAAGATGAACATAAATTATTGCGCCTGCGATACGCTAATACCGCTTTCAACATTCAAAATGGCGGCCGATGAAAATTGAAAACATTTACATGTAATTAAAAGGTTAGTATAAATTTACACAAGTATTTCTGGCGTGCTCCCTTGCTTCATTCAGTTCATTGTTTCTTTCTCACCAAAAAGAGCTAGAGTTTCAGCAGAATGCGCAATTGCAAATATTATGTGATTTATGGAACAATATGACAACAATGACAGTGTCACAGTGATGATGGTGAAATCACTCAATCAGTGATGTTGAAAATTATTTGGATTGTATATATGGGGAGACAGGTTAGTGTCAGTTGTATGTCTTTTCATATGGTACAGAAATGCCAGATTGTAAAGAAAAATGGTGGTGTTAATGGACATCTGAGCCCGTCTGAGGTATGCCATAACATAAAAGTATGTCTTTTGAATGTAAAAGACCCAAAATATCACATCCAAAAATTTTTTTATCTCTTTACATGAAACTAGAAGTTACTATCGCAAGGCAAGTGCTGCCTTACGACCATAGCCCTGGGGAGTGATTATACCAATAAACGTCATTTACATTTCCTTATACATACACTGTATGAATGAATTTATTTTGCTTAAAAATAACGAAATTACAACATGCATTATTACTATATACTGTAAAGTGTAGTTCGGATTTTCATATTTATACATGTGATTGTTGGTACCAATGTTTTAAACTGTCTCCACTTGTCAAAACGTCTAGAACAACAGAATTAGGTAGAACAAACATATGTCTGTCACATACGTGATATGATTAGTTTTTTGCAAGTTTTATATTCTTTCCAAGTAATGATAGTCGATCGATCCATTAGGGAAACAAGTGTTACCACAGTTTTTTTGTCCAATATGTAGTGTTTTCGTATTCCTTTAGCATTGTTGGCCATCATTATTGTCCAATAACTTGTTAGGTTACTGCATGTACACACAAAGGTATGTAGTATCTTGACATACAATGTTATATGGTTACATGGCAGATTCCATCCCATGGCATTAGATTATTTAGATGTAATATCTCCACACAATCTTGTAAATCTGCATTCTTGTTTTAATGGAAATACATTTCTGTTAATCCAGAAGTTCCCATGTGATGTAATATATTTTATGTGATGTAATACGGTATATCCACACTATATTTTGGCTGTAATAACCATTTGATTTCACCCAGCAGTTAATAATAAAATTGGCACCATTCACATCCATCAGAATTGCAAAACTATAGAAAAAAATAATTTGTAGCATGAGATATTATATGAGATATAGAAACATAGTAGCACATAAATGAATGAAAATAAAGTAGGGCAGGGGGAGGGGGTTAAACAAAAAAAAACTTAACATTTTTTGTCTTGCAAATCATATTTTCATACATACAGCGATAACAAGGAGTGTACATTAGTTATTATATAATACATTAAATTATTTAAAAGGGTATATAGTCAAAGTACATACCAAACTATAACTGGGATCCATATATGAAATCCCCCTCTTACTCAAACTCAATAGCTTGTTGTTCTGAAGGCACAGGTAGTAGCCTGTGCTAACTGATCTAGCCTGTTTTCTTCTTCTTAATCGCTTATCGTTTTTGCTTGTTAATCGTTCATATGTCATTGGTTCAATGACACAAGATGCAAGTGATTTTACTCTGCTAATAGCAACATAAGAAACTCCAGCAGTTCTTTCAGATTTGCCAATATCTATCCATGCTTTTGGAAGTGTAAGTCCTTGGCTCTTGTGTATTGTCAGAGCCCAAGCAAGCCTAAGAGGTAACTGTTGCCGTGCCCATGCTTGCCCGGATTCACTATAATTTGCCTTACATGAAGTATTAACACAAATGAGCCAGGACCGGCCCTTATATACTACTAACCACTCAGCTCCGAACTTAAAGGATAAATTTATAACGAGGGACATAAATTTTAGTACTAATTATAATCTCAGAAATGCTGATATAAATCTTTCGAATTCAGTTCCTAAACCACGTACTGAATATTTAAAAAAGAGTTTTGGATATTGCGGGGCTGTTCTATGGAATAGTTTACCTACGCAGGCAAAGCAAACAGAATCTTTAAGTAGCTTCAAAAATTGGATAAAAGAATGTGTGCAACAGAGTCAGGCATCGAATATCTACGTATTTGTTATTCTGTGTTATTCTATTTCATATTTAATTTATATTAGTTTTTAGAATGTAATTTGTGTGACGCCCCTCATGAAAATCATCCATGGGTGATGAGGGAAGCGTGGTTAAATAAAGTTCTACTATACTATACTATACTATACTATACTATACTATACTATACTATACTATACTATACTATACTATACTATACTATACTGTACTGTACTGTACTGGACTGTAATGTACTGTACTGTACGGTACTGTGCTGTGCTGTGCTGTACTCCACTCCGCTATACTATACTATACTATACTATACTATACTATACCATACCATACCATACCATACCATACCATACCATACCATACCATACCATACCATACCATACCATACCATACCATACCATACCATACCATACCATTGTATATCCCGATATGTCCAATCAGTGTCACATCACAGACAGGAATAGGTTGCCCGAAATGGGATTCCCGGAATTCCGCTTTCCTGGAACAGGACCGGTGACGTCACTTCCGGTCCCCCAATTCCCCGCGCCACCCTGGGGGTCCTCTGCCTGCCGGTCACCTCCCCCACCGCACACGCATTCACACGCATGCACACGCATGCACACGCATGCACACGCATTCACACGCACACGCATACCTCCCCCACACATTCGCCGCATCCTCCGCAAGCCCGCCGCACCCACCGCGTCCCACACGCTTGTTGGAGTCTTGGTGGGGGGGGGGGGGGGGGTTGGTGACTTTTGTCATTATCTACATCACAACGACAGCATCGTAGGGCTTGTACTGATTATTCTGTGTGTTATTTTTTGTTGAGTCCGTACGAGGGCAGATTGAGAAAGATTGGGAGGAAGGTAAGTGGTTTATAGGGAAATGTTTGTGTATAAGTAAAAGTATGGATAACGCCTTCGGAAAGCCTCTTAAGAAGTATCAGGAAAATATGGATTTGTTTTTAGAGACTATAAAAAGAGATATTTACAGGAATCTGAGCATTATTTATGTGGCGTACTTGGACTCTATCGGTTGGAACTTTGATGGACCAGCTCCAGGTCGGGAATTATTATACGGCATGGATTCCCCATTTGCAAAGACCGTTTCGGCATACCACGAAGAGTTGCGTCCAACCAGGGAACCGAAGAAGAGGAGCAGGAACATATATGGAGCTTTTTGATATAGCGGAAAAGGAGTACTTGGATTTCCTTGCTTGCTTCAGGGGAACCTGAGGAGTTTCCCAACAAAATAACTCTTCTGTTCCGAGGGACGTAAGCATCAGCTTATTGATATAGATGAGGAAAGGATGTGTCGTGAATGTGGACTAGTGGTTGGTAGGACCCGTTACGTTTCCGAATACGGCTGCTGGGACAGGGCAATTATGAAGCGTAAGCCAGCTACCATCGACTCCAAGGTCTATAGTTTTATATAAAAAGAAAGGGTGTGTCGGGGTATGAGTTGTTTGGGAAAGGATTGTCTGAGGTCATAAATAAAATTGTTGTAGTTTGCGAGGCAGAGGAACCTAAGAGGAAGAGACTACCTAATCTTAATATTATTAGTTATCAGGTATGTAAACGGCTTGGTGTGGAGGTTAACATGTCTCTACTTAAGATTCCTAAGGAGAAGACTCCCCGCAATCGGTGTAAGAAAATATTTAGAGCATTGGGTTGGGATCATGTTGAATAAATTTTAATGTTTATTAACCATTAAAATTGAAGTAATAGTCTTAGGGTAACGACAATAAGGAGGACCTCAACCGTTATCGGGATCAATAGACAGCTGATCAGGCACAACCACATTAGTTTCCGTGGTATCTTCATCGTTTTGTTTACCATATTTTTTTACTGTTGCGCTGGCATATCCGATATGGGTATGTGCGCTCATTGTGATATCACCCCGTTCGATACCAACACCTAGGTTAAACATTTTTCTCCTTTTATGATTTTTGTTGTGCTTCACCCTGTTTGCGGTTTCATGTTTTGTGAACAGGCATCCCATTCTTTATTTAACCGGAAAAATAAAATGCCATTCAACATGATTATCGTCGGTATGACGGCCTGCGGGAAGACGCATTACCTCATTCAGGAGCTAAAGACGACGTTCTTCCACCAATTTGCAAATATATTCCTGATTTGTCCTACCTATCACTGGAATAAGACCTATGATCAGGATTTCATTCATGAGGACGACAATTTCTTTGTTATTCCCTGCCGGCAGGATGACGTGGAGGATTACCTTAAATATGTAGTGGACTTTATCAGGGGAAGGGAATCTCTCATCATTCTGGATGATTGTGCCAGCACTAAGTCTGTAAAGGACCGTACGGGGGAGTTGGTCGACCTTGGGTTTAGCGCAGATCACATGAGTATTTCCACTATTGTTATTACTCAACAGCTGGCCTCCATAGCCAAACCATACAGACAGAACATTTCGAAACAGGTGACTTTCTATAATCCGAATAGGCAGGACATGAGGATTATTTTGGATGAGTACCTTCTTGTTGACAATGCAGAAATGAGATCTATTAAGGAAAAGTTGAAGGGGAATAAGTATGCTCATCTTGAAGTGGATTTGGTACATCCATTTAATCATGAAGTAAAAATTCCTGTATTATAATAAAGGGAATGGAACAAGAACCGCCAAACGCAGAGAATGCGGAGATAGAGGACAGTAGGGCAGAGCTTATTCGCCTGTCTAATGCAGGAGAGATTAAACAGTCCGAAAGTTACCTGAAGAAGGCGTCCAGGAAGGTTATCAAGAAGATACGGAGGGAATATATCGTTGCACAGAGGGAAAAGGCAAACGTGGTGCTGGCAGAGGCTTTGATTGAAAAATTTTCGGATCTCATGGAAGCTATCAGTATGGTGGATAGTGGGAAAGAATTAAGGGAGGAATTAAATCAGGATAAGCTGTTTAAGAGTGATGTTAAAAGTGTAGTAGCAAAGCTGTCCCCATACATACCCAACCTTGGTATTGTTAGCGGTGGAGTAACGACGGTAAAGCATGTCTATCGGAGAACACCTGAACAACCTCCTTCTGAAGAAGGACCGGAGACTGATGATCAAGCATAAAAAAATTTTCCAAACTCTGTTGAGTATCGAAAAACTGTGGTTTTCGAATAATTTAGTACTTTATTCCAGCAAGTTGTCCGTTTGTGATCTTGATAACACCGTCGGAAAGGACGAACAAGTAACATACAACGCCTGCGTTGTGGCTTTCTTTGTGATTTCCACTAATATCCCGGATTGGGTGTTCTGGTTTCCCTAGGTTGTTTCTAAACCAGGATTTTGTATTGCTGTTCTTAAAGTCGACGACTAAAGCCATACTATCCGGCACGAGAACGGAGTCGGTTTTTAGCTTTGGAATATTAACATAAATTTCTTCTCCGGGTTTGGCAGAATTGGGATTGAAGGTTAGAACATGTCTGGTCCTATCCCCAGTAATTTCCGTCCTATTCATGCGCCGGAAGTTAAGCATAAGTTCAGCTGTCCGGTCCATTATGTTTTATTATAGTATAACTGATTTCTTTCGTTTACTTTGTAGGTACTTGTATATAGCTCCGGCAATTAGGATTGCTACGATCCATAGGTTTTGAGCAAGGAAGGCGAGACCTTTAGCTCCCCAGCTTAGGATAGTACTTAGTAGATTTAGGATAGGTACTAGGATTGGTAGTGCGGATTTTGCAAGATTTGCCAGTGCTTTTCCTACGGATCCTAATCCTTTGGAGGCTCCTACGATGGTTTTCTTTCCTGTCACTACGACTGTAGTGATAATTCCAGCGATAGAAATGGCAATGGCGGCTAGTGCGCCTAGGTTTTCCTTTGCCCATTTGCGGAATCTTTCGAATTTTGTCCTGATATTTTCTCTTACTATTTCCCTATACCTGTGTTTTCCCTCCTCCGTTTCGGGTTGCTGACCCATCTCTGGGTTGGCGTTATCTATACCCTGTTCGGCAACATCCATGCCCTCTTGCATAATCTGTCGTCTTTCGGGATCTGTTTCGAGTTCTATAATGGTTTCGAATACTTTCTTCTGTTCCCTTAAGGCTTTAATCCGGACTTCGGGGGGTCCTTTGGGAGAGGTTACTCCCGCAAATTCTCTCCTCTCCTGTGTGGTTATTTTCCCCCTTTCCCCTAACTCCCTTGCGTGTTCCACAAGGTTGTCGACTGCGTTGATGACTTCCTGGCGGAGTTCCTCCTCAGCGTCTTCGAAAATCTCTTCCGCGTTTACTCCTGATTCTTCTCCTCCGGTCTCCTCTTCGACTACACTTTTGGCTCTTTCCCTGTGTTCGGTGAGTGCTTTTTCGTATATATTAAGGAATTTTCTTGATGATGCGGTAGCCTTCTTATTTTCAGACATTTTGTAGGTACCACCCCTATCAATGTATGCAACATCAGCCCCGTTAAGTGTTAACTTGTTTTTAGTGATGTCTAAACTGGATATAAATTCCTTAGAGTTTCGTCCGTCGGTCGGATCTATTCGATACTCAGTTTGGAAAAGCCTCCTGACGTATTCTATCTTTATATCATCAAATTTTCAGTTCGTCTAACTGCCTCTTCCTTTTCCTGTAGGAATCGTCCTTATTCTCCTCACGGAAACTGGAGGTTTTTGCATCGTCTAGTCTTTGATCGTCGTCTAGTCCTGAAAGAAAGTCATCCTCGTCAATAGGTGTATCATCGATAATTGTCTCGTCCTCACCCCCTTCGGCTCCTTCCGGTCGTTTAAGGTTGTCCAGCTCTATGTTATCCTCCATTTTTATTTAAGTCTAAAGATAATTCTTGTTCATAATATCTTCCTAGAATATCCTCCCCATCCTCAGGATCCTTAAGGCTGTACATGTTGGGACCTCCCCGGAACACCGCTGTAACGACGTATACTTCGTTGTCAAAATTGGGTTCGTATCCCTTTTCGAAGGTCTTGTGCTTTATTTCCACCCTCACATGATCCCCGACTTTAAATTTAGGATCCGGAAAACTGCTTAGTGGATATCCGTAGATTCTTGTCCAAACTTCATCCTTGTTTTCCTCATTCACATCCGCTGGTTTCATTCCTATTGTTCTGTGTGTGGAATTATTATAGGATCTAACGAGAGCAGGTAAGATGTCCACCCAAACTTTCGTCCTGTTTTCCGTATTTCCACAGTAAGTATTTCCACATCCTTGTTTTCAGAGTCCTATTGAATCTTTCGACGAATGCAGCTTTCCGGAAGGTTCTTGTGGAAAAGTAGTGAACATCATGATCTTTTAGTAACGTCTTTACTCCCACATTGTAAAATTCCTTTCCATCGTCAAACTGTGCCGTTTTAGGATACCTACCGAATCTTTCCTTAAATTGTATGAGAATATTTTCGACAACCTTTGACATGCTTTCGGTATTTTTCCTCCATACGGGAACAGCAAAGGCATATCGACTCAGGACCTCTATGACAGTTAGGATCCAACGGTTTCCCTTATTCCCGTGGCTAAATTTACTCATATCCACAAGGTCCATTTGAATTTGCTGTGCAAGTCCGTCCACATAGGTCCTCTGGGTCTTGTAATGTTTTCTGGACGGTTTGTGAATAATATAGCTATTTTGTGTCTGTAACCATTCTCTAACATTTTTCCGGCTAACTCCCTTTATACCCTCCTTCTTTGCACTTTGGTATAATTTTTCCATCGACATGTACCCACCGTTAACGTTAAAGTATATTTCCCGGAGAGCTACATCCAGTTCCAAACTCATTTTATTACCTGTAAATAAAACATGAAGAAGATAACAGTCTATGTTGAAGACGGAGGGGTTACCCTGGATTTACAGGATCCACTGATCCTTACTCACGAATCCGAACTTTATGTGAAGACTGCTGCTGTGTTTTGGAATTATAAGAATATTCGTAAGGTTCAATGACTACATTTCCGTAGATGGGAAGAAGATTATGATAGATGAAGGATACTGGACCTTTAAACAGCTTAGGAAAGAGTTGGAGGAAAACGGATTAACACTTAAGGAATATCCCGATGGAAGGATAAGGATCGACTTTGCTAAGGGGACAAATTCCGCAGGACTCCGGAATCTCACGAGTATTCTGGGATATCGGTCCTCCAATGGTCCTACATACACCCCACACATCAGCGATCGTCCCGTAGACATCCATGAAGGCTTGCGATATCTCACAGTCAGCTGTAACCTTGTGAATCGTGAGCATAACATCGGACCGTACGGAAATAGGAGTACCGTCATCACTTCCCTTCCCATCGATGGAACAAGACCTCTCTTTGGAACCACAACGAAATACAATGACATTGAAAGCCAAGTACGGGTGGATGCTGGTAAATATATGTAGTGAAATCCGGTTTGAAATTGGATCTAATACTGGAATCATCCCTGGAGATGTCTTGTTAGAACTTTATATCAAATAAAAAGATGAGTGAGGAAATCTTTCGAAACTACTACGGAAAGAATTACGAGAAGGTTAAGGCGGCAGTACCCGTTGAAATCCAGAAAATGAAGACAAACTTCATGAAACAATATCCCAATGCAACCCTATCCAAGTTTGACTTTGAGGTCACCTTCGCCAAGGATGGAACCGTGGAATCCAGAGACATCTTCTATAAGGTGGATGATCTCACAAGCTATGATATTACATCCGGCATATTCCACACAAATCCGGAGTGGACCAAGTACCTTCACTGGGTAGAGGGGTGGCGTAGTGTTCGAACGGATGCAATCTTTCGTCCGAATAAGAACCTTAAGATGGATATACATACCTTTAAGGTCTATGTTACTGAGACGGAAAGTTTCCCAACAAAATTGGAGCCTATTAAACCATCATACGACAAACCTCCCGAAACCTTCATCAACACTGTACCCTTCGGTTACCACTCAAATTCCTACTTCTGCTCTTTAGCGGCATGTTACGTTGCTATGTTTAAATCCGGAATTTCCGGGGACCACCTTACAAACAATTTTCCCAATTCACACTCCAACATAGTAACCTCCATTGTTCGCTTCCATTTTCATTTGCAATCCCAAACTACTGGACCAATATCTTACAGGAGATGATATACGAACCATTAGGAAGTACATGCCTGTACGTGAGACATGGGTTAGGAGGACCGTCTCTTCCCACGCAAACATTGGGACATGGTACCATGGCATACCTGTGAGTGAACAAAAAAGAATACGGCGTCAGAAGTACCATTTAACCAAATATGGAGGTTCATTTATCGAATATGAATACCTGACCGGTAGGTCACCCTTTGATGTTGAAAAAGATTATAAAACCCTTATTCCCAAAACATCCCGGGGACTTACCAAAGTTGGACAGAAATTATTCCAACAATCGATCAAAGCATTTGTGTACTCTGTTCTGGGGGCACAGGCCAAAACCCGATGGAGTATTATGGGACAGGGTGCAAAAAGTCTGCAGACACAGGAGGTTTTCCGTAAGGTGGTAGAAGATACAATTGTACAAGACGATGTGACAGTTACCATCTCCAACATGAGGACGGCTATTGCTAATACCCAAGTCGTCCTAAATTTTGCAATCATGCCAGGTTTTATCCTAATCCCTTCAGATCTGAGGATTTTAATGAAACCTATTCCGGGATTCAGCAATGTTTTAACGGTAGCTAAGAATGGGATGATGTTTGGGAAAAATGAGAAGCTAAATTATACTAGTAATCCTGTTCCTACCCCCACAAATAATATAGACGAAAGCCATGACATTACACCAACCCCAACCGTGGAGGACTTTAAACCCCCCAGAACTAAGGCAGAAGTCCGATACCCACAATATTGCTCTTGGGACAGCGGCAGTGACGTCCTTTGGACTTGCATACCTAGTCTTTCGACATTAAATAAAATGAGCATCTTACTCGGGTACGATTACTTTGATACAACAGCAGAAGACCTAGATATCCTAAAACGGAAATTAACAGTAGTTGAAAAGGCACAGCAGGGAAACACGGCAGAAGTTGTTAAACATGCAAACGACATCGTAAGGTTGAATAGCCTCGGGAAAAATCCGGTACAGTACGATTTTACACAAACACCTGGGTATCCACCCGGATTTCTTCAAACACCCACCATTACAGACACCGATAAGAAGAATGCAAAATTTATGGTATTCAGTGTCAGTGGTAATGAAATAAATTATTCGAGTTCATCCCCTCTGTACGGATTCTACGAAGCGAGTAGGGGGGCGATTGTTATATTTACAGTTGACCAGAGGAGTAAAATTATCCGGACATCCTTTTCATTCATAGTTACCAGCACAAACATCCAGATCCGTGGTGTTGAATTTAAGAACATAGATTCCACCGGGAACGTAACCAACAGAACAGAAGCTACAACCGTAAATTTCTTCCTCCTAACAACATAAGATTTTTAAATCTTTTCGTAAAATTTAAAATATTTGTGTTAATACATAAGCACCGCCAACACCCAGTATACCCACTGTCAACACTGCGTATCTTTTCATTTCATCCGATGGTTGATAGTAATCCTCCAATTTCGGTCTGCGCTGAGATGCTGTACTATCCATAAGCTTCGTATAATCCCTAAGGTCTTCCAGTGCCCTGTTTGTTTCCTCGATATCCTTGTTAGCATCCAGATCTCAGCCCTCCGTCTTGTCTCGTCGTTCCTACGCTTCACCTCAGATTCGTAAAACTTCTCCTTGGCTTTTGCAAGCTTCTCTAAGGCTTGGTTATGTCTTTTTACCTCTTCCTTGTAGCCTTGCCCATTCAGCTTGGAGAATAGGAAACCGGCTCCGGCAAAGGCCACAGCATTAAAAAGTCCTCCTACCACAACAGATGTCATCCTTTATTGATCAATCATTTTTGGGATGTATCCCTTATCCTTAAGATATCTTATGGTGAACGCACTTCCGGCTACGGCAACGGCAAGCTTTGCTGCTCCTTCTAGGGTCATCGGTGCACCGAGGCTTTTTCCGGCAACCGTTTTAGCAAGGTAGGATATCTCAACGACTCCGGTTGTCAGTAGTGCCGCATCGTACAGTTCGTTGATCACTTCCTTCTTCGTGTCGGTCATTATGTTTTTTATTATAGTAAAACTATTTATCCTTTAGCTTCTCTTCCAGGATTAGAGAGAATCTTCTTTCCAGGGTGTCAAGCATCCTGTCTTCACTTTCCTTGCGTTTGGCTTCCACTGCCTCGCGTTTGGCTTCTTCCACCTCAAGCGTGTGGATGTAAATAAGATAAGTTCCGGCTGCTATGGAGAAGGTTAGTATGTCCAGGAATAACTGCGACATTGTTTTATTATACTCAGTCAAACAGGTCGGGACCCCTTGGTGCGATAACAACGGGTTCCGGCTCCTCTACAATCTTATTTTCCTCGGGTTTCTCGTCCTTCTTCCGACTACTGTACCACATGAAGTAAAGGGATCCGAGCCCTACGGCTATACCCACTACCAAGTCGACTCTCTCTAGGGTAACTATTGACTCCTCATTTTCGGATTCTTCAATCAGAACATTTTGCTCCTCTTCTTTGATAGCTTCAAGCTGTTCCTTCTTTCTTACTTTTGCTTCCTTACTGATTTTAGCAAGCCTACGCCCGCCTCCACCCTTCTTGGATCCTTGACGTGGGTCTTTACTGGATTTGTGACGGGTACTGCTGTTGTATCTGGGTTTACTTCCGACATGGTTTCTTTTTATTTATAGTAGGATTTAACTAACTTGTAAGTAATCTTAAATCCAGTCAGAGGTATCTCACGAGTAGATCTGAATATATCTGGGTTAACTTGCGAGTAGATCTGAGTCAACTTGTGAGTAATCTTAAACCTAGTCAGAAGTACCTCAAATTCAGAATCAACAGTCTATAGACAAGACTTCCTACATATAAACAGCAAGAACCATGACAGTGCTAAATTCAAGACCCACCATCGTCAGGACAAGCGGAATGTTTAAACTTTACTTTTACTGTCCGGAAAAAATGAGTCACATCAAGAATATGTGTGAAAACACAAACTATGAGGACATGACGTTAGCCTTTGCAGACGTAAGCATACCCAACCACAGTGTGGAAAAGAAGATCAAGTTTGGGGAAGGGTGGATGGGAAGGGACGCAGGAATCGTATGTGCACTTGATTACTACGAAAACCCAAAGGGTATATATGTTCTGGTCGAACTACCATACGACATCGGGATAAACAACTGTCGGTTAGAAAGTCCTGAAGACACAGTACAGCTTGGGGAAACTACGGAATTTGTAAACAATTGGTTCCAGGGAAGCGTAGCCCTTTCAGATTTTCATGAATGGCAGGTGCAATATAATGTTGCATGGGAAAACTATACGGAAGAGGAAAAGAAAATACAGAAAGATAAGGAAGATTACGGATGGGCCCACGAGGAACACAATCCGGACAAAGACGTACCGGTAAGGGCTGGTATAGACAACGTCCTGCTCGGCAAGGAAGCCTAAGGTTCCCCAGGTAGTGACCTGGTGAGGTCTTCAGGTTAAGGGGCGCAGGTGCGGACGCCATGTTCTACAGGCGGAATCAACAACCTATCTATAGGCAAGGCTTCCTACATATAAACAAGTAGTATCATGAGACAATTCACCAGAAGGGAGGAAATCAGGGTCCAACTCTACTTTAACTGTCCGGAAAGGATGGATCATATTGAAAGGATGCTTAAACGGGTGGAATGCAAGGATATTGTGTTTATCATAGAGGTCGGTGGCGGCTACGGTCCGGCAAAGCTTAAAGTTAAGTTCGGAAGGGGTGGATGGCATGGGAAAGGGTGCCGAAATCCATGCTGTAAATAACCTTAGGGGAGAACCAAAAAGGTATTAGGGTTTCAATCACCATTTCGGAATCCATACAAGTGTACGGTTGCTGTATCGAAAACCAGAAGGATAGAAAAGATGGAATCTGTCTAGGTATACCGGATGGTATCAGCTACCCCTACACCCACATCTACCCCGATCTCCAGCACATGGAAGAGCGACGGGAGGAAGCGGAAGAAATTAATGAAGTACACAGGGAGATGACGGAAACATCGGATGAGGTACTGGACTGGGAGGAAGAGAACCTAAACGATATGCAGATGGATGCTGAAATGGAAGAAGCCCTTCAGGATCAAGCTGACCAAGGTCGCCAGGTAGTGACCTGGCGGGGTTGTAAAATCCAAAGACGCAATTGCGAACTTTTTCCGTACAAACAGAATCAACTTTTCCAAAATAAATCCTATATAATAAAAGGACACCTTCCTATACGTCCGATTCTGTGGACATTTTGTGAACTCCATTGCTTTTTCAAACCTTATATGTCTGAAAAACAGAATCAACCTTAAAACCACTTTATAGATAAACTTTGTTATATAATAAAAGCAATGGAGTTTACCAGACAAAGTGCTCCAATTTCGGACAAAAAATTCGCATCCATTGAACGAATGAGGACCAACGTCCTCGAGAAGGCCAGGGAGAGAGGCCTAGAAATAGAAGGAAAAATTAACAACCATTTCGACGAACTGCTCAAGAAGGAGAAGAGGAAAATCGTCGGAAAGGAAGTTAAATCGGCAGCAAAACAATTCCAAAGACGAAGGAGACAAACCGAGGCCGACGCAAAGAGGGAAATAAGGGATGCAATGAAATGGAAGAGCGACATCACCAAAGAAGAGAAAAGACGTCGGAAGGAAGTTACGGACTGGAAAGCCGAGGCTCAAAAGTGGGAAAAGGAGACCCAGCGCCTGCGACGAAATGCAAGGGCTCGGGAAAGGCGAGCCGAGGAAAACCGTAGGATCGCAGAGGGTAAGTGGAAAGGTAAGAAGAAATTTGCCAAACTCCAGTTAAAGGTGGGTGACAAGCTTAGCAAAATCTGGAAAAAAACGAGGGAAATCTTGAAACCCATTCTAGCCAAGCACGCCATCAATAAAAAAGTAAAAAAGTACGTCATTACCCCAAACGGTAACTACGACCCAGCCTACTTCCTAACCATCACGGAAGACGAGGTTAAAACACTCATAAACTCCGAAACGGAACCCAGAAACGTAAGAATGTCCTTAGCCTGTGAAATGGTAAGGAGCGACCCGAAAACCGGAGAGGAAGTGTCAACCATCGCCCACTTCGGATCGAAAAACCATAAACTTACCGGTACGGACGATACGGAAGAAACCCAGGGTATCATGAGGGAAAAGATGCTGAAATCCTTTTCGGGATACCAGAGAGGGGCAGTGGATGGAGACTACAAAGGGTTACCCAGTTGGAAATCCACATTGGAGAGTTCCGACCACTTAGGGGTAAGAAACACGAACCACTACCCAAATCCATAGCCGACAAAAAGGCAATCATGAACATGAAGAACGACGACGACGAGTGCTTCAAGTGGGCCGTCACACGTGCCTTAAATCCCGTCGACAAAAATTCGGAAAGAATTTCAAAGGAACTTAGAAGACAGTCCGAAAAATTAGACTGGGAAGGGATTGAATTCCCAACACCCCTAAACGATATCAAAAAGGTCGAAAGAAACAACAACGTTTACGTCAACGTGTTCAGTGTCGACGAAAGTTTCAAGGTCTACCCCCTACGAGTATCAAGAAAAACCGACCCCATTGGACTCTTCCTATGGAAAAACCACTATAGCGTTGGAAAAACACCTGGAATTATGCTCGAACAACGACTACCAAAGGCACGAATATCCAAAACCCGGAAGCACCACGAAATTCGAAAACCACGAAAGAATAAAGGAATTCCCAATTGTCGTATACGCAGACTTCGAATGCTACATCAGCAGATTAGATGCAGAAGAGAAAAGTTTAGACAGGTTGAGTACCACACGATACCAGAACCACAACCCCAGCGGATTCTGCTACTACATCAAGTGCTTCGACAACTCCATCTACAAACCCAAGCTGGTACACCATACCCAAAAGTACGAGGGGGAAGACAGCACCAAAAAATTTGTGGACCTTCTCGAGGAGGAACCTGCGATATCTACAACAAGTTCAAGTTCAAAGAGCCCGTCAGAATGACTCCCAGAGATACCAAAAATTACAAAGGAGCAACCACCTGCTACGCGTGCGGGGAAGAATTCACCCTAAAGGACTACAAAGTCAACGATCACTGTCACTACACGGGTAAATACAGAGGTGCAGCACACAACTCGTGCAACCTCAGAATGAAACAACCGAAATTCATTCCCGTCCTATTCCACAACCTTGAAGGGTATGATGCCCATTTATTCGTCAGAAACCTCGGAGTAAGCAGCGGGGACATCAAATGCATCCCAAAGACGGAAGAAAAATACATATCTTTTACCAAGGAGGTAGAGGTTGATAAGTTCATAAATAAGGATGGTAAGGAAAAGAAGGTTAAAAGGGAATTAAGATTCCTGGACTCCTTCAAATTTATGGCAAGCTCTCTAGACAAACTCACCAAGGGTCTAGGTAAGGACAACTTCAAAAATCTGGACCTAATGACAACTCACTACACCAGGGAGCAACAAGAAATGCTCAAACAAAAGGGTGTATGCCCCTACGAGTATATGGACGGATTCGACAAACTGGAAAAGACGAACCTCCCGCCCAAGAGCAGATTCTTCAGCAGTCTTACCGGCGAAAACATCAGCCACACCGACTACAAGAGAGCACAAAACGTATGGAACACCTTCAGCATGAAAACCATGAAAGATTACCATGACCTTTACCTTAAAACGGACGTCCTCCTACTAGCAGACATAATGGAAAACTTCAGGAAGGTATGCAGGACAAATTACGGACTCGACCCCCTGTGGTACTACACAGCGCCAGTACTTGCCTGGGATGCCGCCCTAAAGATAACCGGAGTAGAACTGGAGCTTATTTCTGATCCAGACATGTACCTACTCATAGAAAGGGGAATCCGCGGAGGAATCAGCACCATCACCAAAAGACATGCTAAAGTAAACAACAAATACATCGGACTCTCAAAAGTACCAGAAAGCGTCATTCAATGTCTAAAAAAGTTGGACGTAACCATTCAGCAGGATCCTAGGGACCTGAACGGAAAGCTGGACGCCTTCGAAGTCGAGGTGGAGGACACTATGAAAGACCACGGTGATGCGTACGTCGAATTTGTTAACCGGTACCTCAACAAAAACCTCACAAAATGGGTAAAAGGTATTAACCGCAAAGATGAAGATCAATCCATATACCTCCCCTATCTGGATGCAAACAACCTCTACGGATGGGAAATGAGTCAGCCCCTACCCATCAAGAATTTCAAATGGATGAACGACAACGAGTTGGAAAAATGGAAGGAACACGGTTGCATCCTCGAAGTGGATCTCGAATACCCCGACGACCTCCACGATCTACACAACGAATACCCCCTAGCACCAGAAAGGATAATGGTCAACAAGACGGAAAAGCTCATACCCATGCAACCTCAGCAGCAAAGAAAAATACGTACTTCACCACACAAACCTAAAACAGTACCTGAGCTTGGGGTTGAAGTTAACCAAAATACATCGAGGAGTTAAATTTACCGAAAGGGACTGGATAAAGGAATACATCCAGCTTAACACAGACCTCCGAACCAGGGGAACCACAGACTTTGAAAAAGATTTCTTCAAACTCATGAACAACTCCGTATTCGGAAAAACCATGGAAAACGTAAGGAATAGGGTTGATATCAGAATCACCAACAACGAAAAAAAAATGGAACAAGCTAGCCAAAAAGCACAACTTCAAGTCGGTAACCATCTTTTCCGAAAAATTAACCTAGTGGCAGTTCATATGAGGAAAACCTCCGTAAAACTGAAAAAACCCATATACCTAGGAATGAGTATCCTGGACATCAGCAAAACCCTCATGTACGACTTTCACTATAACTACATCAAACAAATGTATGGAGACAGGGCCAAACTCCTATTCACAGACACAGACTCCCTATGCTATGAAGTTAACACTGAGGACTTCTTCAAGGACATTTCCAAAGATGTCTATGAAATATTCGATACCAGTAGCATCGGTAAAAGCCATCCCTCCGGAATTCCAAATAGTGTTAACAAGAAGGTTATCGGAATGATGAAAATAGAAACAGGTGCAAAGCAGATCGAAGAATTCATAGGACTCAGGGCGAAACTGTACGCTTACAAAATGGCGGAGGACGGGGATGAGGAGAAAAAGTGTAAGGATGTTAAGAAGGCAGTCATTAAAAAGGAAATAACATTCGACAACTATAAAGAATGCCTCTTCAGCGGTGAGAAACAGTGGAGGGGAATGAACGTCTTCAGAAGCAGACTGCACGAAATATACACGGAAAGAGTCTTCAAGGTAGCACTATCGGCAAGCGACGACAAAAGGATAATTAACGAAGACGGAATACACACCACAGCAATAGGACATAAAAAACTAAGACAGTGGGAATCCCAGCAGACCAGTTTTAATATTCGCAGGAACATTAAAATTTAAATGGATTTGGATTTAGAGACAATGGATTTCGATTTATTAAAATAATTACATCGCAGCTTTACAGCTGAATTGCGTAATTTACAATTGGCTAATTGGACAAGAAAATTTGATATATTACATGAATAATTTACTATTTTAATAGTGATTACAGTAAAAAGTTTAAAAGGTTAATTTACTCAATAATTGTATGTGTATTTTACTCTAACAATTGTATGACTATTGTAATTGTAACTACGATAAAAAGTTTAAAAGGCTAATTTACACTAATAATTTTATGCGAACATCCAATAAATAAACATCAAGTTTCAAGCGCTACACATAGAGAAGATAAATGAATTCATTGTTCTAATAGTCATGATTTGTGGGGGCTTGAAGTTCCTTTCGTTTCTCAGGTTATAATTCGTGTTATATCTTGCTGGTAATAAGCTATTAAGTTTGTGATCAGGATTAAGAATAATAGACTTAAAAAGTTTGTCACATAAATATTCATGATGATCCTTCATGGACTTAATATCTAATCGTTCCAAACCTGTTAGATAGTCAACATCCGGCATAATAATTGATATAGCTCTTTTCTCGAGACGCACTCATCATCAGCTAAAAACAATCATCAGCTAATTTAACTCATTGAAATCTGTCGGTGAGAAAATCAATTATCCAGTTTATAACACTTGGAGGTAATTCCAATCTGCTTAGTTTATCAATCAGTATACCGTGGTCGATTAAGTCGAATGCTTTACGATAGTCAAACAGAATTGTCCTAATGGTTGAGCCATTTCCATCTGTTCCTAAAAACCAGTGATGTAACATATTAATTAGCGCAATAGTAGTAGATGAATTCGGGATTGTTCCGTACTGGTTTGGGTCGATAACTTTTAGAATGGCAGGCTTCACGTAATCCTCAACCACAAACCCCTGCGCAACCTTGGATACGCTAGGGGTTAACGAGGTTGGTCTTAAATCTTTCTTTAGGTCCTTAACCGGCTTCTTCTTGGGCAGTGGTGATACATCTGCCATCTTCCAGCATGCAGGCAATTGCTGTTCACGATATGAAGTATTAATAATATTCATAATTGGGAGAGCAACAATTCTGGAATAATCTCTTAAGAGCCAATTTGGAATGTTATCAGGACCAGACGCTTTTCCAGGGTTGAGTTTTGCTAGGGCCTTCTCTACGCGCATTTCTGTCACAGTGAATCCATGTACTCCCTTATTTACCCGTAGACGGACGCAAAAGCCTCTTCCAAGGTTTCGCCTTCCTTTCCCTCAGATATACCCCCTCCTGGAGTAGTACCTGAACGGATACCATATCCCCAGACACATATATGCTCGGAAACCTAACCAACGCACCCAGATAAAAATTAAATGATTGCTGGTGGGTTTCATGGGATCTATATCCCCTCCCCCATCACTATACATCTCCGTGGTCTTGTCGATTTTTGCGTATAGGACGGGTTGCTTCCCACTCCGATAAAAGCATCTTATGGCTTTTGTTCCGGACTTTCCAACCTCTTCGGCACATCTCTTCTCCAATACTTCCAGGGCCGATATAAAATCCTTATGGTTTCCACCCGCCAATGGGATGGTGAAGTTCTCCTTCCCAAACTTCTTGTCCTTATTAATCCCGTTAGCAAAACAGTCCTTCAGTTGGAGTAATAGGGGTCCGCCGTCCTCCGCCACAAGTCCAATACTTTCGGACCCAAATCTGTTTCCGACGGGTTCCTCAAAGTCAAATGAATTTCCAGAAAATCCCTCTATCTTTGTTATTGAAATGGACATTGCTGTTTTCTTTACAGGAACGCTTCCCTTTATATTGATTTTGTCAAATAATCAATAAGTAATAATCAATAAGTAATCATAAGAAGACGGAAGTCATGGTTATAGGATCCAGATATTCAGTGGCTAACGCGCGTGATTTACATGTTAAATTAAACGGGGAAATATTGAAACAGTCAGATCATTTTAGATACCTCGGTGTCGACATTGATAGCTGTTTGACATGGAAAAAACATGTATCGAATTTATCAGCGCGAATGTACCCTAAGCTCAAAATACTGAACCGAATATCGGCATTCCTTAGCTGTAAGACGTTATTAAGGATATATAAACAAACCATTTTACCAGTACTAGATTACGGCTGTATGGTTTGGGCAGAATGCGGAAAGGGAAATTCGCAGCGGTTAGAGCGTCTGCAGAATCAAGCGATGCGTATTATACTATCAGCAAATCGCAAAACGTGCACGCAAGAAATGCGCACTAAACTGGGCTTATTGTCATTAAGCAGCAGAAGGCGCTTTCTTCGTTTGCAATTAGTATATAAAATTATATACAACATTGACTGTCCACAACAACTAATTGGTTATTTTATTAGAAGATCAGAAACGCACAATAGATCCCTGAGAGACACCACGTTGTTGTACGTAATTCCAACCAAATCGAAAATGGGCGAGTCGTCATTTCAATGTTCGGCCGCGAAAGAATGGAACGCCTTGCCAAAACACTTACGAGACTTAAAGACTTTGTCCTCTTTTAAAAACAATATTTTTAAGTTTTTCTTAGAAACTGATGCTCACGAACATCGTTGTAGCATATAGTAACTCTTAGCACTAAATATATATATATTTTTTTAAACATTTTTTATATCTATCCTGGTATTGCATGTGGTGTGGTTTTTTTTAGATAATATATAGTATTATGGATGTAAACTATTTATATATTAATGCTGGTCATCGGTTTATACCAGCTGATATTTTGTTAGCTGATCGGTTTTTACCAGTTTAAATAAAGAAGTTAAGACTCCAACAAGCGTGTGGGACACGGTGGATGCGGCGGGCTTGCGGAGGATGCGTCGGGGAGGTGTGCGTGTGTGCGTGTGAATCATAGAAATATTAGACCTAGAATGCGTGCTTGGTCACGTGACCGGTGTCCAAACTGAAAACAAAAATGCCCTTATAAATCCGCCATGTTGAATTTGAGTAGGAGTGCAAACTACAAAGTATAAACAAAACTAAAACTATAAAGTTTTCATCGTCAAAACGTTTGGTATTTGTAGTTTGGGGATAGAATTTGAAATATTAAGTTCTTTAAAGGCTCAAAGCAAATGTGCCGTTACAAAAACGGTGAAAATCGTGCAGCCTTGTATAAAAAACAAGTAGTTTTTTCGTGTAGTTTCGCGTATAAAATATAACTTACTCATAAAACATTTTTGCAAGCTCTGAACGTAACTGTTTTGCTAATACTTTATAAAATTACGAGATGATAGTTCATTCTTCGTCGGGTTTTGTTTTTCTTCAATCTAAACGAAGTATTTTCATGTTTTTGAAACAAAAATATTTAGTTGTTGATATTTAAAACTGTAAATCGCCTAAATGATCGTCGAAAACATATGGTTTCAAAAGCGTTGCCTCAAGCTCAAGCAACGTATAAAAAAGTATAAAAAGTAGTTGTGTAAGTTTAAAAAGATTATTGAACTCTATTTATATTATAAAACAGTTGAAATATATTTTTTAAAACATACCTATTGAGTTTCAGTTTGTCTTGATTTTTCGTGTTTTGTTTTGGCTTGCACAACAACGTTGAAAATGTATTTTGAAACGACGATTTCTCTATATATTCTGTTCAGAACTATTGCTCTTCGTAAAAAAAACCCACGGGAATGGGTTTTTCTCCATTAAAAACACTTTTTTTCCACTTCAAGTCTGGATAGAATTGTTTTTGCAAACTTTATTGAAAAAAACAATTCGCACTCCCGGCACCGCGCGAAATTCCACGCCACAGGAGTCTGGGACTAGCCAAAATGCCCTTATAAATCCGCCATTTTGTGGAGACAAAATTTTTACTGAGAAGAGATAGGAGCACGCATTCTATGTCTATTATTTCTATGGTGTGAATGGGTGTGCATGCGTGTGAATGCGTGTGCGGTGGGGGAGGTGACCGGCAGTCAGAGGACCCCAGGGTGGCGCGGGGATTTGGGGGCCGGAAGTGATGTCACCGGTCCTGTTCCAGGAAAGCGGAATTCCGGGAATCCCATTTCGGGCGTGCCCATGCTTGCCCGGATCCACTATAATTTGCCTTACATGAAGAATTAACACAAAGGATCCAGGACCGGCCCTTATATACTACTGTGGTTGTTTAATTTTTAAACATCAGGAGCGATTTATTCATTTTATGTCTGTCGTTCAGATTTTTTCATGACATAACATGGAGCAAATCTGTCGACCTGACATCATAATTGGCACCTGTCATAATTCTTGCCGCCCTATTTTGTAGTTTTTGCAATTTCTCTTTGAGCATGCTTCCACAATTATCCCATAAAGATGAACAATAGTCAAAATATGGGAGAACGAGAGAATTATATAAATTTTGTAGTGTTTCGGACGGTACAAACGGCTTTACTCTTTTGATGATTCCAATACTGGAGCCAACTTTTCTACATATTATGTCTATATGGTTTTCCCAGCTCATTCTTTCATCTAGTTCTACTCCCAGACATGGAAAACAGGAATTACGAGTTACTGGTTTATCATTTATCATAACCTGTTCATTACCAACTTTGTTTAAGTTATAGTGTGATCCTATAAACATTGCTTTTGTCTTTTTTGTGTGAAGTTGCAATTTATTTCGAGAGAGCCATTTGACTATATTTTCTAAATCCTGGTTAAGTTTGGTTACTAGTTCGGAGAAACTTGCGGAAGATGCATATATCTGAGTATCATCAGCATACATGCCAGGAGTTGTGTTTTTCAGACATTCAGGCAAATCATTTATATATAGTAAAAACATGAGGGGTCCCAAAATAGATCCCTGTGGAACTCCGCATACAATTTTCTTAGCCAACGATGTGTTGTCATCGACAACACAAACTTGTCTTCGTTTCGTCAAATAGGATTGGAACCATTTTAGCTCAAAATCTTGAACACCAAACTGGTCTTGCATCTTCCTTAATAGGATTTTATGATCAATAGAGTCAAAGGCTTTCCTAATATCAACTGAAATTAATCCGGTTATTTCTCCATTATCCATATTTTCAAACCAATTGTCACTAATTTCTATTAACAAGGACAGTGTCGAATGTTTGGGCCGGAAGCCCGATTGAAAACGTGAAAGTAGAGAATTGTCTATCATATACTGATAGAGCTGTCCAAATACTTCTTTCTCAAATAATTTGCTGATAATGGGAAGAATAGATATCGGGCGATAGTTTTCACATTTCGTTCTATCTTCTGTTTTATAAACAGGTATTACCCTAGCTCTTTTCCAATCATCAACATATATCCCAGTAGAAATTGAGAGATTAAATATATAGGTCAAGGATTGGGCAATAATATCACAAGATAATTTCAGCATTTTGGCTGGTATTCCATCAGCCCCGGTAGCCTTGGTTACATTTAGATTTTCAGGTTTTTTAGAATATTGGTTTCAGTAATTGTATGGAAATAGAATTTTAAATTTACACCAGTTGAATTACAATGCAAGTCTTCATAATCCGAAAGACGTTCACATTCAGCAGCGAGTGTTGGGCCAATATTAACAAAATATTCGTTTAAGTGTTCAGCTATTTGTTTACGATCACTATTTATTATGCCATTAATATTCATTTCTGCAATATTAGATGATTTCCCACCTTTGCCCAATAGGGTGTTTATCAGTGACCATGTTTTTTTCATGTCTTTAGCTAGGGAAAATTCCTTAATTCTTGTTTGATAATAGACAGTTTTGGCCCTTTTCATTTCCGAGTTAACTTTATTTCTCACCAATTTATATTTATCCCAGTGATCCTGGGAATTATACTTCTTTGCTCTCTTTTTATTATAGTCTCTGGATCTTATTAGTTTTTTAATGTTGGAATTTATCCAGGGAACAGAATTGTGCTTTATGCTTTTATAAATTAAGGGTGCATGTCTGTCGAGAGCTTCCAAAAAAAAAAAGATTTCAAGACATGCCAATTATCGTTCGGGTTCATATACTGTGTAGCTAAATACCAAGGTATTCTGGACATTTCTTCAATAAAATCAGTTTCATTAAATCTTTTGAAATTTCTAACTTTGGAACGGATTTGCCTATATTTAGGCATGGTCACTTTTTTCACCGCATAAATTAAACTGTGGTCTGTCATTTCCAAGTCAATAAGACCACTATTGGAAATGTTATTGGGTTGATTGGTGAACACTAGATCAATTAAAGATGATGATGTGCTTGTGACTCTAGTTGGCTCCTTGATCAATTGCTCTAAGTTATATAATGTGCTCAGAAATATTAACTTTTTGGTACCGGAGTCTTTTGGTGACTTAATCATATTATAATTTATGTCACCAATAACAATCAACTCCTTACTTTCAGCATCACATTTACTAAGAAATATTTCAAAGAAATCAAATAATTTCATCTCGGAGTTGGGCGGTCTGTACCATGCACTAATGAGAAGTGGCCTACTTCGTGGTTTCCAAATCTCAATACAAATCATGCATTTCAAGATCATCTGAATTTAAATCCTTCCGCTCATAGAAGGATATTAGTAGGAAAATAAGCCTACATTTACTATAATTAGGATAGCAAGTTTGATTAGATCCCTGAGCAACGGGATATTTCTAGTTTTACAAATACCTCAAGTGAGGGATTGTAGTGACCAATGTGTAAATATTCATAAGTAGAATTAGCTTGAAATAAATTTCAACTGCACCTTCGTTGGGTTAAATCGTGACTATATACTTTGCATAAATACCATAATATAAAGAGCTTTTCTACAAGCACTCAAATAAACTCTTGTGCATGGTGTGTAATTGTCTACACACAATTCATTTAGTTTATTAATTTTACTGACACTTGATAGTCATGTAACGTCCAAGTACAGAGTACGTACTTGTGCATGCAATGTCTGGATTCTAATATATCCACTACGTTGAGTTGATATACACACTCTATCTTAATTGGTCTGGCGATATATCCAATCACGTGACAACAGTAGTGAGATAAATATCACGCGTTCGATTCGTATAATAAATGTTCAGAATAATTCATTTCTTCTTTATGGAATTTAATTTAAGCGATATTTTGTATATCCTTTTTCTTTTCCTTATTTTCTTCTTCTTCCTCAATAATGTCGATAGCCACACCATTTGTTTCTGCAGTGACGTCAGAATATGTGTCATCACTTTTGCCGGCATCATCAATTGGCTCAAGTGCGTCCCGTGATAAGTGTTCAACGACGGCACAAGCGACACAGTTTCCCCAAACATTTACAGGAGTCACTAAACGATCTCTAAATAAAATAAGGATGGATTTGGAAAGATAAGTACTTTTGGCAGCGTAATAAACAGCTCAGTATGAGGGTGCGACTTGGCAATTTGATAGTTTGCCTTTTTCAATCGAAGACCTGGTCCAGCCATTGATTGTACAAAACTCCTAAAACCTTTTATGTTTATCTTATAGTTTTTGAGATATCAGACTGTTTGATATGTATATATATATATTTAATAAAATGTGATTGTCTTGGTTCAAATAAACTGATAATAATAGCTCAAAAATGAAACATGTCGGTACCAAAATGTTTGCACGATGCCTACAATAAAATAGTTCTTCCTAATTACTGTTCAACTTGCTGACTCCATTTGCATGCACAGTTTTGTTTGACTTCAAATTTTCTGGAATTTTATTCATGTAAAGTATATTGGAAGAAAATTGAGTTTTAATAAAAGGAATGAAGCAATTACGAATTGGGGAAGATATTGGTAGAGAGCAGAATTACTGCCTGTATCAACTAAATTTCTTTCAAGTATATAATATATAGTTGCTTACATTAGCCAATCAACAGCAAGTATCAATGCAATGTCAGCTGAAGCAATACCAATAACTCTTAACACTAAATTCTTCGTTACTATTGGTGCTGCTGCAGTGACTGGTGGTGCAGCTACTGATGCTAAAACTGTTGCGAAACTGAAAAATACAAATATATAGGAATTAAGAATAAATTTTCATACAATGTGATTAATAGATAATTACGAAAATCACTAAACTGTCAACATCACGTACCGCTAGGAATTTCAAACGGGCAAAGACGTTTGGTCACATGACTTCATGTTTTTGTTATGAATACATTTTTGTATATGGGTTTCTAATTTTATTATCCATGCAATCAGGTGCGTAGTTTTGAATTAAACGTCAGAAATTCGTTACTCAACAGTCAATTTATTCAAACGTAAACAAGGTTACAAACATCCGAAAGAAGGTCTATGCAACAGAATATATGAAATATTTGTTTAATTAATTGCAAACGTTTTATATTCATTTCAGAGCTCCATAATCGTAATATACAATCTATATATCTTATGATCTCCCGGCCTTTTAGCGAAAATATGATCTCAATCTTGTAATATATACTGACCGCTTTTACGCGGGGCGAGTTGCTGGAAAAAAACCCAGTTGTTTTGCAGTTGACTGGGAATAATTAGCACCGCCAAATCGTGACGTCATGTGACCAAAATGATGAAACAATTTGATCACATGATTGAACGAAAATTGAATTTGGAACTATTGATTCCAAACGTCTTTGAAATTCTTAGCGGGGATGTTGACAGTTTAGTGATTTTCGTAATAATATTTGGTACATATCAATAATTTTCTGAACCTTATTGTCATTGTTATCTACTTATTTTCCTTCGTTATGACGTTATATCACAGGGAGCCCAAGCGTTGATCTGTGTTTTACTGAATTATTTCACTACATTACACTAATATGTCATATAATAATAATAATACTCCTATAGTCGAACATATAATAACAACATATAAGTTGATTTGTATTTGTATGTTTTTTAATTATTTATTTAAGGTCTATTATTAGCTTATTTAAAAGCACCGCCTTTCGAACCTGACAGCCCGTTCGCAGGATACGCGCGTGGGAGATGCGCGGGATTTGAAATAGGAGGCGGCAACATATTAATACGTGACAAGGGATGAAACTCTTAAAGTTTATCGTATTATGAACGCCCCGACTTGAGTGGACCGATAATTATGCAATGAGTATCGTGTCAAATAAACGCCGTCAACCTTTAGGAATCAATGATATAAACAAGAAAGCAAACTCGACTACAACTCGACGTGAGAAGCCAATTTGTGTCGACCGTAACGGTTTCAATGTTTAAAATTTAAAATGAACTACATTAGGTCCACTAGTCAAGTCAAGTCAAGTCCAGTCCAGTCAAGTTCATGCTACGAAACGTCGCTATTAAAAACTATAGCAGTTTATAAGACTCTAGGGCTTTTATTTTACAAAATTTTTCAATGGCTATGTACTTTAGCCTTAGACATATCATGTAGCTGAATTTCAAGCTAAAATTCTTTTTAACAAGCACATACGGCTTCAAAATAAAATATCGCCGTATTGTAATTTCATCTCTTGTCTCCTTTCTTATTTTCAGTGCGAAATAACGCGCGTATCCTGCGAACGGGCTGTCAGGTTCGAAAGGCGGTGCTTTTATATAAGCTAATAATAGATCTTAAATAAACTGAAAAACATACAAATACAAATCAACTTATATGTTGTTATTATATGTTCGACTATAGGTATTATTATTATTATATGACATATTAGTGTAATGTAGTGTTATAATTCAATTAAAACACAGATCAATGCTTGGGCCCCTGTGGTTATATCCGTTGCATGGAATGACAAATAGATACAAATATATTTCCACCAGCTCGTTTAACTAATGAGAACAATCAGAGCGTAGTATGTATACAACAGTTTTACACAATATATAATTGATCTGATTATTCTGCCGCTTGAATTGCTCAATCAAGCATAACATAATATACGATTAGGTTTCAAAGTGATTCCATATATATTGCCTACCATATTAAGACAGCAGATCCAAAATTAAGAGAATCTCCATTACAAATTTTCACGATATATATGGCGGCCACAGCAATGTATATTGCACCGCCATCTTTGTTTATTGTTGTTCCAATTGGAAGAACAAATTGAGTGACACGAGGATCAAGCTTGTGATTCTTTTCAAGGCAGTTCTGTGCAATAGGAATAGTTGCAGAGCTAAAACAAAAATTTAAGTAGAAATTTGTGTCAATTGACTTAATATTCAATACAACTGAAGACCGTCAATATGGTTTATGGAAAAAGTGTGAAGAATAATTAATTTCAGTTCCTACCTCGAAGCCGTTCCAAAGGCAGCAAGTAACGCCTTAACTACACGATATAATAAAATAAACGGATTTCTTCTTAATAATGTAAAGTATATAGCTGGCAAGACAATCAAACAGTGAAGCAAGGATATGATAACCACCATTGCAGTATATAGTCCAAGACTGGAAACATTCCCTTTGATATCGTCCATGGCTGCTAATTCGCCAGCAATAATACAACCAATACCAACGGGTGAAAACCTTTATTTTAAGATGAAAAAACAAATAGCATTAAGAATTTTGAGAGATTAAACAGGAAATTACCAAAAAAACGAAAAGCTAGAGGACACTATACTATATAGAACGTTTTAAAAAGTCCAAAACAAAAAACGTTTATTAAAAACAAATTAATAATGGTAATTGAACTGACTGGAGTGCAATTTTGACTATAATCAAACGCGTGACTACAAAATCTGGATTTCAGTAAAAATTGCACGACACGAAGTTGAATAAAGTTAACGTTTTTGTTTGCAAAAGAAATGCCTCCAGTACCTCCCGAAATGCCGTAGCGTAGCAACTATACTGTAAGCGAACAAGAAGAACTGCTCGTTTTGTGAATCAAATTGCATTTTATACGTTCGAAACACCGCAAGAATTGAAGAGTTTCATAAAGAATAAGAGACAAGTGCGTTTAATTAAACATATTATAGGTCTTACGAGCGATTTGATAGAGTTTTGGTGCAGTTTTGTGCGTTCAAACATCGGAACTAACGAATTTTACTAAATTGTTTTACCTGACGCTTTAAAGTTGCTTTTGTTGGCGATTTGACCATATTTTAAGACAATTTTGTCCTTAATTTGCCTGTTATTTTTTGTGAAAAATTCTTTAAAATTGTTTGATAGTTTAGTAATCAATATTTTATATAAGCAAAAACTTGCTTAGGCAGTCAAGAGTAATTATTGTCATAATGACACATGTAAATTCTTTGTTTTGCTCATTTGGCATATCACATCTTTCTTAAAATTGTTGGCTGTTTGAATCCTATGTTTAATGAATATGATTGGTTGGCTGAGGTCAGCACTGTAATAGGGATGCCATTTCAACACTGAAATCGCACTGCTTTATAAGGGCCAATAAGATTTGCGAACTCTCAGCGAACTAATTAAAAACGAACAAAAACAAAATTTTGGAAAAACAAAGCAAATTAATGCCACGAATCAAGAGAAAGAAAGCAAAGCAAATTAGAGAAAAGTATCGGGTAGACAATTATATAGAACTAAGCAATAACTTTGCAACAATTTATTATCAAATAGAGATTACAATAACAGATACTTACCACATAAATATATCTACCATTTTTAATGTAACATTAAACAAGCAACCAAACCAGGCCACCCAAGGCTTTCCTTCTTCTCCAAGAGTGTGCAAAATTATGCCACAAACAACCGAGAATGTCAGAACACCCAAAAGATTTGCTGAATTATATTTCTCTTGACCATCGTACTCAGAAAGTACACTTTCTTCTTTGATTACTTGAACATTGTCCCGTGATATGCTCCATGGATTCACTACTTCATTCTTCAGAAACGAGGATAAATTTTTACCAGAGGATATCAGACTGGTGGTTGTTTTGTTCTCGAATCGATATTCTGTCGGCGTGTATTTATATTTCGTTGCAGTCTATAAATATTATTAATTTATGGTAATTTAGTGGTTAAGGATAAATGAAAATTCCCATGCACCAATGGAAATTCCCAAGCACTTAAAGCGCACATGACATGACAATTTCTCCTCAATTTTTACGCATCACTTAAAGGTACCTTGAAAATGATGAAGAATGGCTTTAACAATTTTGTATTTTTGTGTTATGACGTCGCTGCATGGTTGTGCTTAAATTAAGGATGCCAGTAAAAAGAGTAAAATCTACTCCTTCAGAAGTCATTCAACGAAATTAAATGAAATTTGGTACAGTTAGTAAGTGCACATAAGCAAACATCTTGGAACGTTTATGTGCATGGTTGCCATATAGTAAAATACTAGTTACCAGGTCTCTCTGTCCTGTTTGTCCAATGCTTTGCTTCCAACAAAAAGGAGAGGAAATTTTGTGATTTTCATTATTTTATTATTATCGCTTTTATAGGTGCTGTGGTGATTATAAACTACTGAATTAAATAAAAAAAACTAGTGCGTTTCTATGACAACCAGATAAACGATCCAAAATGTTTGCTCAGTTGCACGTATACTGAAATGTATACCAAATGTAATTTTATTTCGTTGAATCACTTTGGAGATATTGGACTTTATTCTTTTTGCTGGCATCCTTATAAGCATATATTAACTACTGACGACATAACTCAAAATACAAAATGCCCGATAATATATAACTTGGGAATGAGATGAGCTGTCAATCAATTGTTAAGGCCATTCTTCATCATTTTCAAGGTACTTTTAAGTGATGCATACATAATCGGGGAGAAATTTTCATATCTTGTGCACTTTAAGTAGACTTAAAAAGTTTGAAATTAAGGTAAACAGCAAAATTAAATTTTCATTCACCAGTGTCATATATATAATAACTATAGTTATAAAATTATAATGATATATAAATCAATGGAAGACAAGTCTGTTCTTACATCCTGACGTTTTTATAAAGCGAATTTCAGATCGTTTCAAATTTAAAAAAAAATCTATTACTAACACACGAGCCTCGCGCGATTTCTTAATTCAAAACTTTTGCTCATAAATGAATGGAACTCTAATATAACTGAACGGTATATCAGTCTGCAGCTGACTTACCGATGAGAAGCTTGCCTCCACAATATTGTCAGGAACCATATTTCTGAAAAAAGATTATAACAAAATATTAATTATTTGTTTGAAACGTTTTCTCGGTAGGGGCGTGCAACAGTGTTCGTGTCGTAAATCCATGATAGCCGATTGTAAAAGACGTACGTAGCGCTGAATATATAATTAGTAATAATGCAGTTTTGTTTCCAAAAATCTGGCTTGAATCGTAAGTCATAATAAGAAAATGTTTTTATATTTACCTAAACATATCCAAAATGGCGTGGATGGCACTGGATCCTTTGGGTTTTTCAAGTTTGTGAGTTTCTTGAACGTTTGGTTTCATGAACAGGGCCGCAACCACGACAGCAAAACGGCTGCAATAAGACTTGTTAGGAAAAAATAAATGAATGCTGTTTTTCCAAGTTTAGTTGCGGACTTTTTGTCCAAAGTAGCCAATGAGATGATAACACTTGAGACAACGAAAGGTAGGACCAAGAGTTGCAGCATTCTCAGGAAAAGTTCACCAGGAAACGAGATGAACATGGCCAACTCTTTTGGTGTTGGGTTGGTTGAGTTCTGTACCGTTTTGTTGAGAAAAAATCCGCCTAGAAATCCAAAAATCACTCCAATCAGCAGAAGAACAAATAGAATGTTCGTTTTAAGCCATTGGATAAAAGACGTTCTGCACTTGAGCGTCATGTTTTGGAGATTATTAGATTTTTGAACTTATAGTACGTTAACCAGCAAGAAGAGTGCTGAAACTGAAAAATCATTCGAGTTGCTTTCGTTTAAATGCGTTCTGTTTATATTTATTTCCTGTGTACGTCTATCATAATTGGAGAATTATACGTGTACCACCCAAATGTTTTTTGTGAGACCAAACTGAGAAACCCAGACGTGACATTGTATTGTACGAATTATCTTCCTATATACATGCACGTGCATGTTGGAATCATACAATTGGGCTGAAACTAATTGTCGTTAATTATAATATTCATTTCCAAGCATGCACCTCGTCTTAAATAGTTTCAAACTGACGTATCTTTGACGTATCTTGAGAGATTTTGGAAATAAGTGCTGCTATATATATGTTTTTCAAAACAAAGACCCCAAATAGCGAATTTCTTTGCATAATTCTTCACTTTATATTTATTTCCTGTGCGTGTATCATAATTGGAGAATTATACGTGTAGGCCTACCACGCAACTGTTTCTTTGTGAGACCAAACTGAGGCGCAGACATGACTTTGTATTGCACGAATTATCTTCCTATACATGCACGTACGTGTTGGAATCATATAATTGGACTGAAACTAATTGTCTTTAATTATAAGGCAGATATGCCTGTACTTATATATATATATTCATATATATATATATATATATATATATATATATATATATATATATATATATATATATATATATATATATATATATATATATATATATATATATATATATATATATATATATATATATATATATATATATATATATATATATATATATATATATATATATATATATATATATATATATATATATATATATATATATATATATATATATATGCTTATATATATATATATATATATGCTTACTTCGAGAGTGATCAATAGCGCAATCTCTTCATGGTCTACCATACCAAATTTTATGAACTATTTAGCACTGGACAATCCATATATATATATATATATATATATATATATATATATATATATATATATATATATATATATATATATATATATATATATATATATATATATATGGCTACTA